AGAACTTGGGAAGGTTGAACACCAGACGGGCTGCGGCGTTCTGGATGAGTTGTAGGGGTTTAATGGCACAGGCAGGGAGCCCAGCCAACAGCGAGTTGCAGTAATCCAGACGGGAGATGACAAGTGCCTGGATTAGGACCTGTGCCGCGTCCTGTGTAAGGCAGGGTCGTACTCTACGAATGTTGTAGAGCATGAACCTACAGGATCGGGTCACCGCCTTGATGTTAGCGGAGAACAACAGGGTGTTGTCCAGGGTCACGCCAAGGCTCTTTGCACTCTGGGAGGAGGACACAACGGAGTTGTCAACCGTGATGGCGAGATCATGGAACGGGCAGTTCCTTCCCCGGGAGGAAGAGCAGCTCCGTCTTGCCGAGGTTCAGCTTGAGGTGGTGATCCGTCAATGAGTTAATAGACCAATAAGAAAGAGAGTTCCAAACCTCTCTGCCAATAACATTTAGTTTTCCCCTCCCCACGCAAACCCCTCCCAGTCTGTCCTACCAAAACCGTTATTTCATTTTTTTTTACAATTTTAATTGAAAACAATCACAGTAAGGTACATAATTGTTACCCAATAATGATTTGATATTGAGATAAAAACGGCTACATTGGACCTTTTAATTACGATTTCAACACACCACACCATATACAGTACCAGTCAAAAGTTTGGACACAACTACTCATTCAAGGGTTTTTCTTTATTTTTACTATTTTCTACATTGTAGAATAATAGTGAAGACATCAAAACTATGAAATAACACATATGGAATCATGTAGTAACCAAAAAAGTGTTAAACAAATCAAAATGTATTTTAGATTTTAGATTCTTCAATGTAGCCACACTTTGCCTTGATGACAGCTTTGCACACTCTTGGCATTCTCTCAACCAGCTTCACCTGGAATGCTTTTCCAACAGTCTTGAAGGAGTTCCCACATATGCTGAGCACTTGTTGGCTGCTTTTCCTTCACTCTGCGGTCCAACTCATCCCAAACCATCTCAATTGGGTTGAGGTCGGGTGATTGTGGAGGCCAAGTCATCTGATGCAGCACTCCATCACTCTCCTTCTTGGTCAAATAGCCCTTACACAGCCTGAAGGTGTGTTGGGTCATTGTCCTGTTGAAAAACAAAGGATAGTCCCACTAAGCGCAAACCAGATGGGATGGCGTATCGCTGCAGAATGCTGTGGTAGCCATGCTGGTTAAGTGTGCCTTGAATTCTAAATAAATCACAGACAGTGTCACCAGCAAAGCACCCCCATACCATCACACCTCCTCCATGCTTCACAGTGGGAACCACACATGCGGAGATCATCCGTTCACCTACTCTGCGTCTCACAAAGACACGGCGGTTGGAACCAAAAATCTCAAATTTGGACTCATCAGACCAAAGGACAGATTTCCACCGGTCTAATGTCCATTGCTTGTGTTTCTTGGCCCAAGCAAGTCTCTTCTTCTTATTGGTGTCCTTTAGTAGTGGTTTCTTTGCAGCAATTCAACCATGAAGGCCTGATTCACGCAGTCTCCTCTGAACAGTGTCTGTTACTTGAACTCTGTGAAGCATTTATTTGGGCTGCAATTTCTGAGGCTGGTAACTCTAATGAACTTATCCTCTGCAGCAGAGGTAACTCTGGGTCTTCCTTTCCTGTGGCGGTCCTCATGAGAGCCAGTTTCATCATAGCGCTTGATGGTTTTTGCGACTGCACTTGAAGAAACTTTCAAAGTTTCTCTTTGCTTATTTGAGCTGTTCTTGCCATAATATGGACTTGGTCTTTTACCAAATAGGGCTATCTTCTGTATACCACCCCTACCTTGTCACAACACAACTGATTGGCTCAAATGCATTATGGAAAGAAATTCCACAAATTAACTTTTAACAAGGCACACCTGTTAATTGAAATGCATTCCAGGTGACTACCTCATGAAGCTGGTTGAGAGAATGCCAAGAGTGTGCAAAGCTGTCAAGGCAAAGGGGGACTACTTTGAAGAATCTAAAACATATTTTGATTTGTTTAACACTTTTTTGGTTACTACAAGATTACATATGTGTTATTTCATAGTGTTGATGTCTTCACTATTATTCTACAATGTAAAAAATAGTAAAAATAAAGAAAAACCCTGGAATGAGTAGGTGTGTACAAACTTTTGACTGTTACTCTATGTGGTCAAATGTGCCATCGGAATATATTGACACATATAGATACGTATAGATGTCATATAGATATAGATAAATAGTTAAAGACACCTAGATAGATAAATCTATATCATAGGTAAAGGATCCATACATGCAATGTTTTTCTTGCCAAAACATTTGTGGTTAAAAATGGGTGATTGACATGGCTGATTCCATACTTCAATCAAATATGAACACACTACTAATTCAAGGAATTTGTCTAGCTGTTAAACTTAATCCCCATGACCAGTGACCATGGTGGCTTTAGGGAAGTATTTTCACCATACATCTTATGCAACATCCGCACCTTTGTGTGGAAAGTATAGGAAATGCAGCTGTTGTAATAGGCTAGTGCCCTCAAATTCAATTCTGGACCTCGAAGCCAGTTCACTTATTTTTTTTTCATTGTTCCCCTCTAATCGGGGACTGATTTAGGCCTGGTACACCAGGTGAGTGCAATTAATTAGCAGGTAAAAAAAAGTTTACTCCAAATGCTGTTGAGTTCCGTTTTGTTCTTAAATGGAAGTTGTAGTTCAGTCGTGTCTCTCTTTTTTTTTTTAAGTGTCTGGAAGTAGTTGGAAGGAACCCCGCAAACTTCACTCCACTATAGAGCATGGAAGAATCGATCATTTATAGATGTGCAGCTTGTGCCAAACCCAGACTATTCAGATTGGAATGGCAACATGTGGAAACCATACAATTAAAAGGAACTACAACTTACGTTTAAGAACCCAACAGCTTTTATGTCACGTTGAAGAGCGTTTGGGGTACACGGTTTCTGTTCTGTTGCAACAGAATCTGCGTATTGAATACACCCCAGGATTGCATCAGCTCACCATACCCCAGCCCAACAGGTGGCGCCAAAGGTTAAGCGGTACACTTGTGCGTCGAGATTCTATTAATCGAAAAAGAGGTTAGCCAAAAGACTTGTCAACATCCCTACCTCAGTGGACACATTTCTTGCAGTTTAATCTGATGAATTTTCGTCCTTGCTAAAGTAAATAACTATCCACTAGGTCTACTCCTTGCCATCTTCACTCAAATCAAGGAGCAATTGCTGACATAATCCACTTGATTGCTCGAGGTAAATATTGACAACCTGTTGTGCTTGTGTAGCTAAGCTAGCTAACGCGTCAAAGGCAAGTATAACTTACTGTTTGTATGTTTAACATGTTGAATTTCTTTATCTGTGGTTGATTATCTAAATCTCTTTAACCGCAAATATTTCAATAATTGATTGCTAGCAAGCCATCCGTTGAATGCTGTTCCAGGACAGTCAGTTTGTTATAGCTAGGCTAGCTAGCTAATTTGTGTATTGGTCAATGAAATTACATTTTTAGTAGCCCAATAACTAGAAGCCTGAAGCTATTGTGCTGAAGCTTTATGGTGGAGGCACAGTGGCTGAAATGAGACGAGCTACTATGAGCTGTCTAGCTAGCTGTTCTAGACGGACAGCATCAGCGCATGCGCGGCTAAAAACTAACCAGTTAGCAGCTAACGTTACTAGGCTAGCTAGCTGCTAAACAAAAGACAAGCTGTCAGTCGGCTAACAAAATCAGTTATTTACCAAGCAAACGCAATTTCTGTAAAGACACCTGCGAAAGTAGAAGCTCAAATTACAATAGAGCCTTTGTGTTCTCTCATTTCACCTCTAGTCACTGACAACCCTTGTCCTACAGTGCCACATCCTGCACCTGATTTCTGGGCTGTACCAATCACTAACTAATTGGTTAAATTAATCACACGTGGTCTCCTAGCTAAGTAAACTTAACTCAGTGTGTGTGGTGTGTATCAGTGGAGGCTGCTGAGGGGAGGACGGCTCACCATAATGGCTAGAACGGTGCGAATGGGATGGCATCAAACACATGGAAACCATGTGTTTGTTGTATTTGATACCATTCCCTCTATTCCACTCCAGCCATTACCACGAGCCTGTCCTCCCCAGTTAAGGTAACACCAACCTCCTGTGGTATGTATGTGTCTATTTCTCTCTCTCTGTGGATGGACAGAGTTAGGTTTACTTAGCTACTGGTCTCCTAGCCTGGCCTGAAGCTAAAATGTTGAATCAAAAACACGAAAGGCCAATTTCCCAGACAAAGTTTAAGCGTAGCCCTGGACTAAAGTATGCTCAATGTGGAGAATCTCAAAGTTGCTTTTTAACCCAGGACTAGACAAGTGCCTGTATTAGGACTTGCACCACTTCCTGTGTGAGGTAAGGTCGTACTCTACAGATGTTATGTAGAGCATGAACCTGCAGGAACGAGTCACTGCTTTGATTTTTTTGCAGAGAATGACAGGGTGTTGTCCAGGGTCACACCAAGGTTCTTTGCACTCTGGGAGGGGGACACCGTGGAAAGTTTCTGCTATAGTAACTTTCCAGTGATTGACTTGACCTGACATGACCACCTAGGCCTATCTGATGACATGACATTGAGAGATTAGCTACATATCAACTATTCCCACTGAATATGGGGTTTTGTACAGAGTAGCCAATGATTGTTTGGGGAGATCCTGCAGTACTTTAAAGACTGATAGCTTGAAGGCATTAATAGCTACAGTCCACAACTCCTACTACAGAGACTTTACTATTCCTGGATTTATTTTCTGCAATTCATTCTATTGCACGCCGTTCAACTTAAGGATAAATGCATAGGCGTTTCTGGAGTTCACAGGGACCATTTTTGGGTACTCATTTATCAATGCCTCCAAGAAGAGGCATGGCTCGCCACTGCTGTCCTACCAGTATATATCTTGGATTATTCCTATGATTATGGTATTATTCACTAACCTTATTGTATGTGGAACTCTTGCGGACATGTTTGTGTTGTAGACCATGTTCGGCAGCATCTGGGGATACTTCTACACATCCTTCCTTAGATACTGGCTGAAGTGGTTCATCAGACAGGTGACAGGGAAATGCGAGCTGCAAAGGATATGTGCCGGCTACAAGCCTGGGGCACCAAGGACAATGAAAGCAGGTGAGTGAGGTTACATTCTAGAGCTAAATGGTTTTCATTAGAACATGTTTTTAAATGTTTTGTTACGGAAAAACAACAATTAGCGTTTCTTATTGGACAAGTCCAGATAGTCCTCCCTGTTTTTCCTCCATTCGGTACCTAATGAACACGACCTTTATGAAAACAAGTTGTCAGTTGTGCTATTCATGATCATTTTGAACTATTTTTAACCTGTCATTTGATCTTTCTTGACTCAGAATACTCGCTCAAGAACTCCAAATGTAAGGTAAGCATTGGAAATCATTCTTCACTTGATTTTTACTTAACTAGTCAACCATGCATAATGCATACCTGCTTATCATACAGACAGCCACAATTAACTGTTACATTTAACCCACTTAAGAAATCAATTGATCAGTACCCGGATGGTTGTTAATCTTGTCATGCTAAGCACATTCTTATCAACAGTCCATGGGCGGTTCCATTGTAACAGAGGGATGCGGAGACTCCCAATTTTTCACTTTAAAATGAATGCCAAACAAAAACCAATGATTGCAAAGTTAGACAAACCATTCAACTTGTTACAAAAACACATTTAGTTGAAGAACAGTGCAGATGCAAAGTTTGGTAATAAAAGGACGGTTTGTGCTGTCATTCCGTTACCAAACTTTGCATTTGGACTGTTGGAAGTCGTCCTTGTGCAGGGAGTTGTATGATTTGCTGAACTTTGAAATCATTGGTTTTTGTTGGGCATACATTTTTAAAGGGAAAAATCTGAGTGTCAGAATCACTCTGTTTCTGTGGAATTTCCCCCATACGAAGTTAAGGCAGTAGGTAATGCATAGTTGGTGGTTCCATCATCTGACCTCAATGCTCATCGTCCATGTTAAGACCGCATAGTCTGTAGGAGAAGTACTAACACAGACTCTGACCTGTTACCATGGATGAGATTGTGTTGTATAACTAATCACACCATCTCTCTCTGTCCCTGCTTTCTTTTCCCCTCCCTCTCTCTTCCTCTCTCCTTCCCTCTCTCTCTTCCTCTCTCCTTCCGTCTCTCTCTTCCTCTCTCCTTCCTCTCCTTCCCTCTCTCTCCTTCCGTCTCTCCAGGTCTTAAGAGCTGCTGTGGAGGTGGAGGAGGATAGTTTGGAGAAGTGTCTGGATCTTATCATGAGGGAAAAGAATGTCAAAACGCAGAGGGATCCCACGTCAGTCTTGTTAGCCTTTACTTACTGTTTTATGAATATTTTATATGTATTTATGACTAATGTGTGTGTGTCTCTTTGGTCCTAGGTTTAAGATGAATCTGAAGCTGTGTCTCTTACAAATAACGGGATACAGGAACTTATTCACGTCCGTGGAAGAGTTGAGGAAGGAGACCTTTGACTCGGATAAAGTAGAACACGAGGAAATGCTTTTGAAGGTACTGCAGCAGTTCTTTTTTTTTTTATGTCAATGACCAGCATGGAGCAATGGAATGTTTCTGGATGAGATGATTCAACATGACTGTTTCAAACTTTTAATACCCATCTCTATTTAAAGGTAAGTGTAAAGTATTAACAGGAATGGACTTGTCTGACTCTCCAGTTATGGGACCTGTTGATGCCCGAGGTCAAACTGGAGTCCAGAGTTACCAAACAGTGGGGCGACATTGGTTTCCAAGGCGATGACCCCAAGACTGACTTCCGAGGAATGGGCATGTTGGGCCTAACCAACCTTGTGTGAGTAATGTTGTCTGAATGACTGTCGTCCTTAACAATCTAACCTTGTTCATCAGTATTCTGAAAAGTGTTTTTTGGGGGAGGGTAGATTTCTTAATTTAATTTTTAATTTTTTTGTCATTTAGCAGACGCTCTTATCCAGAGTGACTTACAGAAGCAATTAGGGTTAAGTGCCTTGCTTAAGGGCACATCGACAGATTTTTCACTTAGTCGGCTCGGGGATTAGAACCAGCGACCTTTCGGTTACTGGCACAATGCTCTTACCCACTAAGCTACCTGCCGCCCACTAATTAATATAGTTTTCATTCTATATCCTGTATATTACAGGTTCTTTAGTGAGAACTACACTGAAAAGGCTCGGCAGGTGCTGTCCCACGCAAACCATCCCAAACTGGGGTAAGGAATACGTCATTACCTATTGAACTGTTCTTTATATGTCAGCTATGGTTCTGTTGCACATTTCAGTATATTCACTCATCTATCAGTAGTCGCATTAGTTTTAGCTCGCCCAAGGTACTGGGTGGGTGGAGTTTACACATTGAGACCATTCCATTGGTCCTAAAGTGAAACCTCTGCACACATGGGCACCAGACGAGCAAAAACAAGCACACTCAACATATTTATAACCTTTTAAGGATTAGCATATGTGTCATGTTTCAGGTACTCATATGCCATAGTGGGTATCAACCTGACGGAGATGGCGTACAGTTTACTGAAGAGTGGTGCTCTCAAACCCCACTTCTACAACACTGTGTCTGGGAGACCCCAACTGCAGCACCTCCATCAGCTGTACTGTAAGTGGGTGCTAATCGTGCTCCACTCTTTTGTTTGTCAGTGGCGTAGGGGCCTAACCATTGATTATGTCAGAGGAGGACGTTCCTCATTATTTGTTTCAAATCAAATTGTATTTGTCACATGCGCCGAATACAACAAGTGTAGACTTTACTGTGAAATGCTTACTTACGAACCATTTCCCAACAATGCAGTTAAAAGGTATGAAAATTAACAAATGGATAAAAATAAAATAGTAACAATAAAATAACGAGGCTATATACAAGGAGTACCGGTACCTAGTCAGTGTAATAGCAGAGAGAACAAACTGTGACTTGGGTGGCTGGTGTCTCTGACCATTTTTAGGGCCTTCCTCTGACACCGCCCGGCATAGTGACGTCATCGTTCTGTTGTATTCATTTATTCATTCATTAGTTTCATTCCCTTTATTCAGCCATGATAGTCCACTCAGTAACACATGCAACTGTTTTTAAGGGAGTCCTGGGAACTACAGTGCCTTCAGAAAGTATTCATACCCATTGACTTATTACACATTTTGTGTTAACCCGAGTTCAAAATGGATTTTTTTTAAAAATCTCTCACCCATCTACACACACTACCCCATCATGACAAAGTGAAAACATGTTTTTAGAAATTTTTGCAAATGTATTGAAAATGAAATCAGAAATAGCTAATTTTCATAAGTATTCACACCCCTGAGTCAATACATGTTAGAAGCACCTTTGGCAGTGATTTACAGCAGTGAGTTTTTCTGGGTAAGTCTTTTAGAGCTTTCCACACCTGGAATGTACAATATTTGCACATTATTCTTAAAATAAGTCAAGCTCTGTCAAGTAGGTTGTTGATCAGTGCAAGACAGCCATTTTCAAGTCTTGCCATAGATTTTCAAGCCGATTTTAAGACAAAACTGTAACTAGGCCACTCAGGAACATTCAATGTAGTCTTGGTAAGCAACTCCAGTGTATATTTGGCCTTGTGTTTTAGGTTATTGTCCTGCTGAAAGGTGAATTTGTCTCCCAGTTTCTGGTGGAAAGCAGATTGAACCAGGTTTTCCTCTAGGATCTTGCCTGTGCTCTTTTCCGTTTTTTTATTTTTAATCCCAAAAAACTCCCTAGTCCTTGCCGATTTTATAAGCATACCCATAACATGATGCAGCCACCACCAAGCTTGAAAATATTAAGTGGTACTCAGTGATGTGTTGGATTTGCCCCAAATATAACACTTTGTATTCAGGACATAAAGTTAATTTCTTTGCCACATTTCTTGCAGTTTTACTTTAGTGCCTTATTCCAAACAGGATGCATGTTTTGGAATATTTTTTATTCTGTACAGGCTTCCTTTACACTCTGCCAATTAGGTTAGTATTGTGGAGTAACTACAATGTTGCTGATCCATCCTCACTTTTCTCCTATCACAGCCATTAAACTCTAACTGTTTTAAAGTCACCAGTGGCCTCATGGTGAAATCCCTGAGCCGTTTCCTTCCTCTCCGGCAACTGAGTTTGGAAGGACGCCTGTATCTTTGTAGTGACTGGGTGTATTGATACACCATCCAAAGTGTAATTAATAACTTCACCATGCTCAAGGATATTCGATGTCTGCTTCGACCAATAGGTTCCCTTCTTTGCGAGGCATTGGAAAACCTCCCTGGTCTTTGTGGTTGAATCTGTGTTTGGAATTCACTGCTCGACTGGGGGACCTTACAGATAATGATATGTGTAGGGTACAAAGATGAGGTAGTCATTCAAAAATCATGTTAAACACTATTATTGCACGCAGTGAGTCCATGCAATTTATTATATTACTTGTTCAGCACATTTTTACTCCTGAACTTATTTAGGCTTACCTAAAGGGGTTGAATACTTATTGACTCAAGAAATTTCAGCTTTTTATTTCTAATTAATTTGTAAAAATGTAAAGACAAAATTCCACTTTGACATTATGGGGTAGTGTGTGTGGGCGGGCCAGTGACACAAAATCTCTATTTAAACCATTTTAAATTCAGACTGTAACACAACAAAATGTGGAAAAAGTCAAGGGGTGTGAATACTTTCTGAAGGCAATATATATTGTTGTTATGCTGTCTATAAACCCCTAACTCTGTCTTTGCCCTCCCTGCTTCAGGTTACCTGGTGTACAAGTTTGATAAGTTCTGGGTGGAGGAGGAGCCTGAGAGCATCATGGAGTTCAACCACTACAGGGAAAAGTTCCACGACAATATCAAGATTCAACTACTGGACCCTGCCGTCGCCCTGACAGATAGTCCAAGAAGCACCTGACCGACCAACCGACTGAACTGGACTTGCTTGGACCTAATTGGGACCACCAGCACCTCAATACACTACAACGTACCTCCAAATCTATAAGGGACATTTTGAGCTTGCTATCTCTTCGATCTTAGTTTAGACCCAATCTACACACCTTTTTCTTTTGGTATAAATGAGTGACTTTCTTTAAGCAAATAAAGTTAATAGCTTTAGAAATAAGTAAGACCAGGAGACTGGAATTCAACCCTCTGCCTCAAATAATGACCATTCCAATGCTTAAAATATTTAAAAGGGGGGAAATACAATATTAGGGTACTAGTGCTATGTAGTTGATTGGCTGTGCACTTTTCAGTGGACTGGGAAAGGAATTACACAATAGTTTGAGGAAATGGAGATTGGTGAATAATATTAACTAGCTGGTAACTAGGTTTGAACTCGCATGTATTTATGATAACGTTGCCTACTCATTCCCATATTTGTCCTTGCTCAGGAATCAAATATTTATGTGCAGAGAGGGAATTTATATCGTAATAAACTTAAAAATAAGGAATAATTTGTGTTTACCTAATGCTCAATAGTTGTACTACATACTCAAACACTGAAAGCTCTGTGCATGTTTTAATGCGTTTGAATTGATCCCATCATTGTCGTCAATACATTTCAAGAGGTGGCGCTGAGATCACTGGGTATTACGCTGCCGCCTATTCCACATCCGTACGATATCGTGTGCACTAAAAGCTGACTTTTATGGTGTTTTGTCGGTTATTTATAGGCCGCGTGCCCTGCTTTTTGAGGATGATTTTTACATTTTGTAGACCCAGTATGGATCTTTGTAACGACTGACAAATGCCCAGTGTTAATAAATTAAACTTCTGATGTGATGTTTGCAGATTAGTGTGTGATGACTGTCAATTGTCGGGCCGAGATTGAGATTAAATGGAGCGTGTAATGAACAATACAATGAACACAGACAAACAAAATAAGTATATTTATAAAGTTCAATATGTTGCAAATTACTAATATCTAAATACTAATTATTAAACTATTATAACTTACAAAACGTTTTTTGGGGAATTAATGGAAGGGAAAGGTGATACCTGTAGCTCAATTGGTAGAGCATGGCGCTTGTAACGCCAGGGTAGTGGGTTCGATCCCCGGGACCACCCATACGTAAAAATGTATGCACACATGACTGTAAATCGCTTTGGATAAAAGCGTCTGCTAAATGGCATATTATTATTACATAGTCAGTTGCACAACTGAATGCATTCAACTGACGTTTCTTCCGCATTTAACCCAACCCCTCTGAATCAGAGAGGTGCGGGGTCTGCCTTAATCGAAATCCACGTTATCTGTGCCCGGGGTGCAGTTGTTGTTGGGGGTTAAAATTAAGCACACTATACAAGGGAAGCCTTTTTCAACCCAGTCCTGTTAGCCCACTAGTCGTTCCTATAGTACTGTATCCTAACACTTGGACACCTGATTTAAATGAACAGCGGGTTGCTGATTAGTTCACAAGTGGCAGGTGTGCTGAATACATCATTATAGAGACCGGTGGTTTGAGAACGCTAGGCTGCTGTATCATACAAATGAGACCGTTGGTGAAAAAGGCCCTTGGAAATCTAGGTCAAAATAAATAAAAAATAAATTTAAAAAACGATTCTCCAAGGAATTCCTTTTCCCACACTGTGCGTTCATAATAAGCCACATACAGGGTAGATGCACTTCAAATGCACTTTCATAACTCCTTTTTTAACAAAGGATTCCTCATTATTCATAAAACATGCTGACAGTCGAACACATAGGAATCTCGTGGCCAACGTTATGGATCGTGGTCCATAGTATTCCTGTAGTCTACACTACATTGTGGGTCCAAGTCAATATGGCTAGGGTTTGTGCGTTTGTCAATCCGTTCATTGCAAAGGGCTCTTCTTTGCACGTGGGAATTAATTTAACTTTTGTCCTCCATCTTCTTCTTTCCTATCATCATGACTCTCTTGAGCTGCTCAAATGACACGAACATCACAACATTCCACGAGCCCAGCCTTAGAAAAGAGGGCACGAATCTAAAGGGAACAAAAGAGGACAAATTAAACATTAGTTGGCCTGTCTGGGAGATACTTTCCACTAAAGAGCCCTCATAATGCTCCAAGGTTTTCCTTAGTAGAGTTCAGAGGTGGCTGCTGGGAGGAGCTATAGGAGGACTGGCTCATTGCAATGGCTGGAATGGAATTAATGGAATGGACCCAAACACGTGGTTTCAATATGTTTGATACCAATCCATTCCAGCCATTACAATGAGCCTGTCCTCCTATATCTCCTCCCATCAGCCTCCTCTGGTATAATTACAGTGTCAAGGTAACCACCCAAAACAGGGGGGACTCTAAAATGTAGAACTACATCCAAATTCCTTGTTCTATCAACAGACTGATGCTTGTTAAACCGTTAAGGAGGACACCGGTCTGTTTGTACAGTGTGTGTGACTGTTAGTGAGATCACCCTTTGTAGAAGGCCGTGGGTCCCTCTTTGGTGGCCATGGTCCAGGCACAGTTGATGGCACTCTTATAATGGCCCGGCGGAGAGTTCATGTACCGTGTCTTCACCACGTCCACCGGAGAGGCAATGCAGGTGGTAACGAAGCCGGCGCCGAACGCAGACGCAAAATGGCACGGGAGGTTATCTGTGGGAAAACGGTCATCAAGAGCCCTTTTGAAACACTGTCACAAAGATATCAATGGGCACAGTTGTAAAACAGTAATGCAGGCACTAAAGTTAATGTTCAAGTAGTGCCATGCAGATACACTGTACTGTATAAGGCCTCTGTCTCAAGCCCAGCAGGAAATCCATATCTCTGGTTTATACCGCTTTGTTGTAAAAGGTGCAATAAAAAACCCTTTGGATAAGTGTTAGCCCGTTCACAATGTGTTATTCCATAGCTGGACAGAGCACTATGTACTCTGTTATCAGGCTTGCGAGACACATGGAAGACAAAAGTGTGAGAGGGTGTGTGGACTTCTGTCCAGTTCAGCTGTCTCGCTGTGACTGTATGCACCAATAGCACCCACTCACCCGATAACACGTTGTGCCTAAGAATGGCCTCCTTAATGAGGTCATAGGTCACAAGCTCTGTGCAGTTGACCAGAGCGTTCCTAGTGATGTTGGGTAGACAGCCTGGAGTGAACAAGAAGCAGGTTGGTTGGTTAATAACCCCAATCGTTATACCAGAATTAAACCACCAGTCTATCATTAGAAAAAGGCCCTAGAAAAATCAACAACATCCTGCTAAGCTTCACATTCAGATGCACTCAAGTTCTGTCCCACCTTGATATCAGAAACTTAGCAGCATATGCTCCGATTAATATCTGTACATCCCTGACATTGGATGAGAGTGACATACTGCCATAGGCAGCAATCTTTGTTTTTTTCTATGCAAACAGTTCCACTATGGACAAACACAACCAATGGGGCTCAAGGTTAGCGGCAACACAACCAATGGGGATCGGTGTTACTGGCAAATCAACCAATGGGGCCCAGGGTTGTACTGACTAACCTTTCCAGAGTCCGCGGATGCCCTCATGGTTGAAAATGTGTTTGTAGGCCTGCATCGTGCCCGTGTAGCGGCGATCCACCCCGGTCAGGTTGACCTGGGCCTGGAAGCGAACCTTCACCACGTCAGTGGGCTGGGCGAACGACACAGCCATGGCCCCCGTGGTGCAGCCGGCCAAGATACGGATACCAATATTTGCAGCTGGGATAGGACAGGGGAAGAGGGGGTAAGAGGGTTTGTTAAGTACTGAAAGGATGATGATTGAGGTACTGTATGATGCTTCTTCTCTTGGTACAAAATATGTCATAGATCACAGATTATTATCTCTGATTAATAACTGTTTTTATCCTAATTTACTGTCTGCTCCGCCAGAGTAGAAGTTTTTGACGTTGTCGTAGAAGCCGATCCTGATGGAGGCAAAGCACATCTGTCTCTGTAGGCCCGCCACCAGACCGTTATACAGCGACCTGGGCCCCTCCGTCCGGATCATGGTACTGATTGTCCCAAACACCCCCCTGTAGCGGATGCCCTTGGTAGCTTCCGACGCCACCTTTTCTCCCTGAATCTGGGGTTCACAAGTGTCAGTGTTAACGGAGGTCCGCACAAGAATCAGTGTTACAGGAGGTACCAGTAAAAATCAAACTATTCACAAGTAAACAAGATTGCAATGCCACAGTAAGAACTAAAAACAATGGTGTACCTACAATAGCCTCCACAGTACTCACAAGAGCTTACCTCGCAACACTTGTGAAAGCCACTCAACTAAGCTCTCATGACAGCAAGTGTAAATGTTACAGTGAACACTGGAGATGCATGCAGACAAGTTAACCAGCGGGTCAGACTCAAGTCTTCAGGGCTGGTGATGGGCATTGAACCAGTACCTGGAGTCTGACTTTGGCTGTATCCAGGGGAAAGGTGACCAGGTCAGCGATACAGGCCGCTGTCCCAGCACTCAGCAGCTTCACCCCCAGGGTAGGGGGTGTATCAGAGGGCTTCATTCCCACCATGGTCCCTGGTACTGCAGACAGAGGGAGGAAGAGAGAGGGATGTCAACACTGCCACATCTATGCTCTCTTACCATCCTTGTGATTTTGGAAAATGCTGTGTATACTTAGGAAATTGTTGAGTAAATATACCAATCAATTTGTTGATTCGGTTTCAAAGTACAATAGCCTGTGCAGTGTGTAGCCTATTGTTCTGGCAGGAGTAACTTAGTGATATTTGAAAACACATGACCTCATATGAACAACTGAACAGCACTGATTATGATAATCAAAACAATCAAACAGATCAAAAAACATCAGTGTTATATAGGGGTGGGTTGCACCAACATGGATTAACTCTTAAACTGGGTTAAATCAAGGTTTATTAACTGGGATAAAATCAAGGTCATTAACTAGGTTATATCAAGGTTTATTAACTGGGTTAAATCAAGGTTTATCTATTAACAACATTTTAAACCTAGTTTTAAATTAATCTTAGTTAAATGTAATCCTTCTAAACTAAGTTTAATTTTGTTCTTATTTTGTTCTTGGTTTAAATCTTGTTCCATTGTTTTAAAATCTAATTAAAATATAGATACAGGATTATTCTAAACTGGCCCCTGCAGGAGGTTTAAATTGATAAAATGTCAGTGTATGTGTTTTATTTTCAGTGTGATTAACGATTTTAGCTCATGGATACCATGTTTGTAAAAGTCAACTAGCCAGCTAACTAATTTGACCAAAAAGTGCAATTGGTTTTAATAGCCTGTATTTCAAACTCACTTTGCTAGCTAGCTTGCAAGCTAGCAATGACCAGTGCTGGTTTGTTTCCATATAAATAGAATGAGAATATATTGCTATGGTGAATGACGTGTAACTACTCATAGTTCAAAGATTTAACCTTAGATTAATTAATGCAGGTTTAAAATTAAACGGTGCAACACATCTCAAATATAAACCTAGATTAGGTCTAATCTAAAAAGTATTTTAAACCATGTTGGTGTAAGAGTACTTACATTGTTATTAATCCAGTGGATTAAATTCCTTGTTTGACTAGGACGTGAGAGCCCAGATTATAGTCCCAGGGAGCCTGCCCGAACCCTGGAAAAAGAAGTTGTGCATCATATTTATTTGATTTTTTGCTGACTAGCCCCAGAGAGAGGCGTTGCTGTGTACAGGAACACGGGCCAAACCAAAGTCCACTCACTGTCAAGAAAGTCAATGTCCAAATCACCCCTACAGCCATGCACAGCTTCTAATATTTGTGAAAAACAACACATTTACCGGTACATTGCGTTGTAACTACATTGCAACATTTTACGGGAGTATTTCATTCATCCCAGGGCAGTGTGGCAACATTGACCACTCATTGTACCTTTTGTCATACATAGCTAGCTACCACAGAGTATCTGGAACCACTGGTCCCCTTTTACTCTGTTCATCCCACAGCTATCAGTAGACTTCCATGAACATCAGTAGTATCAGTAACACAAAGTTGGTGAAGGTGGGTTTACTGGATGTAATCATTCACCTCATTATACCAATATGTTGCTTATCTACTACATTTCTACCAATAACATCAGTAATGTGCAGGGGACCCATGGTACCAGTTGTCGAGAGGCTTGTCTAAGCTCTCAGCCAATAGGAGTTAGGGTGTGGAGGACAGGGGCTTAGGGTCGTAGAGTTTAATAGGCTAACAGCCAGATTCATGACAGTCTGTCAAAAGGACACTGGTGTTCCTGATGGAATTGTGACAGACCAGGTGAGATAGTTGGCTTTTTTGCGATTGGCTGCCTATTGATAAAGGGGTTTAAACATACCAGGCTGCAGAGTTCAGTCTGGTTTAACCATGCTAGCAGCTATCTTAATTCTCTACAATAAGTTATATGTCACTATGAAAAATAGTCGTTTTAGGGGGGACAAATGTTTGAGCACGTGTTGGAATGGACTGATGTCCCAGAGAAGTTAAAATGGTAATGCCGGTACATGTGCTGCGAATAGTTTGCCTCTCGGTCAATATGCAGAGGTGACAGAGGTGGGAGGGTTGTGACGTGAACTAGGGACTAAAGGTCAAAGGGGGCTGATAAGAGTATTGCCTCACAGCAGGGTGTTTTCCTTCTCTAGCTCAGCTGCCTAGAAACGGCACCTTGTTATGTAAAATACTTAGAAAAACTGACCCTGGGCCTCCCGAGTGGTGCAGCGGTCTAAGGCACTGCATCGCAGCGCTAGAGGCGTCACTACAGACCCGGGTTCGATCCTGGGCTATCACAACCGGCCGTGATCGGGAGTCCCATAGGGCGGCGCACAATTGGACCAGCGTCGTACGGGTTAGGGGAGGGTTTGGCCGGGGGAGCTTTACTTGGCTCATCGCGTTCTAGCGACTCCTTGTGACGGGCCGGGCGCCTGCAGGCTGACCTCGGTAGTCAGTTGAACGGTGTTTCCGCCGACACATTGGTGCGGTTGGCTTCCGGGTTAAGCGGGTGGGTGTTAAGAGCGTGGTTAGGCTGACCACCCAGGGTCATGGTAAACACACAGGAATGAGAACTTGTTAAAGCAGGAAGTAAACAGAACATTATTGGTTAACATATTACCCCTGGACAAAACAGAGGAAAAACCGGTGATCTGAGTGTGAACAGAAAATAGTCCTGAAAACAAGAGGGAATTGGGGACATTGTTTGCTACCATACATAAGGCTACCATACATAAGGCTATGCGCCTATAGGCACTGGGATGAATGGTAAAAAAACAGCTAGAATCCAGCATCATACATTAGATGTTTATGATTTAATAGATCATCCAATTCTTTATCCTAACAACACAGAATCTTAATTAAGATCCAGTGTTCTACATCAGTTGCCCAAAGTCGTCCTGAATCTGCTGTGTAGTGCTAGGGCAAAAACCAAACCCTGTTCTACATTCAAATGACATTTGATCCATAATTTAGGGACATGATGCATTTGCTCAGGTCCTGGGATGAACCATATTACATAATAACTGCAGTAAAAGGAGGACAGAGAATGACGTATTAGCAGACCAGTTACAACTAGACGTCAGTTAAACGGTTCATTCAACCCAATCCATTACTACGCAGAGTTGTTAACGGATTAATCATTGCTAGATAATGTGCCCAAATGCATTACAACGACAAGCTCTTATTGGTCAACCTGAACCACACCCCCAAACGTCTGCAGAGCAGCACAGCAGATAAGTGAGAGATTTCACAAACCACCTTCTCAAAACCCCTTTATGTGACAAAGTCTCTATTTCAGCATGTCTCTCAAGCTGACACTGTGCACCATTGTCAAAGCTGGAGAACTGCAAAGATGTAAGCCATTAACCCTTCACTTCCTTTTACTGAAAAGGTAGAAGACAGTGAAAGGTAGTGGCGGCATCAGAGACGGAAGTCAATGAGCTGAGTAGACCAGATCCAACTGCTATCGCATTGATGTCTATGGGAGAGCCATCCCCTTAAGAAGACAGGAACTGTCCATTTTTTCAATAGTACAACGGCCAGAGTGAACCATCTTAATTTATCCACCATCTTTGGTGGCATTGCAGGACATTGGGTCTGATTCTGTAACATTCTCTTCTTCTCCACCAGAGGGTGCTCTGGCTCCACCTCTACTGAGAGTACAACATTAGTAGCCTGGATTGAATCCATCCTGACATGCTACGTTTCAATGTTGAAAGGGAGCATATCAGTTTTTATCCCAGGCTACAGTATGAGCAACCCTAATTGATAAATCCCATAAAGAGACATGAGACATTTTTAATATGTAGCGTAGGACCGTTCATTCTACACTTTAATTAGTTGAAGTGGTACAGAACACTTAAAATCATGACCTTTGTACATGACACAAATTCATTCACATTGGAACAAAAAAAATACATAAAAACAGCAGTTCAAAACATTGTAAAAAAAAAATAATAAACCAGCTTTTTGAGTGGCAAAAAAAGGCAGAAAACATGCTTATAAAGAAAATATGTGATAAAGAAAAATTTTGTAAATGTTATTTTTTCCCATGATAAAACAAAGTGCATGTGCTCTAGTTGAAGAGACAAGTGAGCAGAACAGTTCAGTATGCAGGCTAAGCTACCACACAAAAATGAAATCGAAACAGTGTTTTCCTTAGTGAACTTTCAGAAGTACATCTCGAGTCTGATAAAGGTTTCATCACCACTTTTTAAGATTCATATTTCATTCCAGTGCAAGTGTGGGTTATCCTGAAGCGGCGGCAACTAATCTTCCCAACTCTAGAAGTACAGTCACTTCTTCATTGTAGCTAATGTATGCTGCCTGTCTAACCCATTGTTTCTAGTGTAAATTAGCGGCTAATAGATTAGCAGCGAGTACAACTGCACCACAGGTTGTGGTTAGTCAATTAGTCTAGCGGCTAATGAGTTAGCGGCTAACAGAACTCTACATTGACTGAGCTGTGTTCCTCTGAGACTGTGACAGGCCACTCCCTGGACTGGGCTGGTGGTCTGTAAGACCTAAACATCATGATACGTAGTAGTCTAACTGGTTTAGCGATTATTAGTAGTAACATGTATACATGACTTCATATAAAGTACAGCAAGCTCAGCTAATACATGTACTGTACATACACCACAGCTCTGCCTGAATTCCGTTTGAGGTCAAAGGTCAATAAAAACCCATTTTTTCCTTCCCTGGTCCCTCTGCTGAACAGAACCTTCTAACCCTAAAGATAAAACAGGTTGTTGACATCTGGTAAAATACATTGCTAAGAGCAGGTCGTTTTTTAAATTTTTACTCTTACAGTATCGTACACAAATGTTAGACTTTCCAGTTCCAACAGACTGTCATTCTTGTCACCCAACAAAGAATACTGGGTTTTTTCACGTTGTACATATACATGACAGACAGATAACTGTGTTTCCCTGTTTTCCGAAGCAGTCAAGCTACAGAGCCTGTCTCTGTGTAAATTCTCTCTCTTTTCCATTGAGGCATTAGCTACCCAGACAGGGAGATCTCATAGTCGCTAGAGGACAGTAGGGGGCACCCCACTTTCCTCACATTCTTGGCATTGGTGACACGTGCGGCCACCTCCACTGGCTTCTCGAAGTAAAGCACCAGGGCCTGCTCAGTGAGCACCGAGGCCAGGAACTGCTCAAAGGTGATGGCCCAGTCTTTATCTATGCTGGTGCTGTGAGGCAGCCCCCCATCTCCGCCGTGAGGCCCGTTCCCTCCACCTCTTGGCCCATTCTCGCTAAGCACCAGGACAGTGTCGTCATTAATGTCCTCGCAGTGTAGCTTGTCGTCGAGCTCATGGGAGCCGCCGCTGAGCACCGAGTAGGACGACATGGACGTGTCGTCTTTGGTCTCGTCGTCTGAGATGAGCATGGAGGACGATGTCCCTGTGTCCTTCGGGGACGAGTCCTCCAGCTTAATGTCCTCCATGGCGGACAGCTGCTCGCCCCCGCCGTTCCCTCTTTCCGGGGCCACACGGCCTGGCCTGGCTCTCCTCCTGCTCCCCCTCTCCCTGGCCCCTCTGCTGGAAGACACCCCCAGACTTGGCCCCTCCATCTCGGGCTGGCCCACTGGTTTTGGCCTCCTCTGGGTCGTCCTGGTCCTCCTCCTGGTCCTTGGAGTGGCAGAAGAGCTTGCCCACCTCGCCCATCTCCAGCAGCAGGCTGGTGACTGTGGCCGTGGCGTGGTACAGCTCCTGCTCCTGGGCGTCCTCGCTGAACATGTTGTAGAGTGTCTTGCACAGCTCTATGAACTGGCTCTGAAGGAGAGAGAGCGCGAGAGAGGGGAAGACATACAGGTTAGTATGGGAAGGTAGAGGAGGTAGAATAATTGGCACAACACACTATATCATAGCATCACACAGCCACGTTTATCAATTAGATCCTAGCCTCCCTGGTGTGGACTCCACTGACTCCCCCTGGGGAGTTGGTGTGGTTCTTAATGCTCTTACCTGGTTGAGTTTGGGCAGATCCTTCATGTTGTCCAGTTTATTCTTGGTGCCCTGATTCCACAGCCTCAGGTAGTGGCGGTAGTCAGGGGTGTGCAGTTTCTTCACTGTAGAAGCAACAGAGGTGGCCGTTAAGAGTTAAAGCTAGCAGCCTGGCACGCTTTGACTATTTATAGGAGGCCATAACAACAGCAACAACTAATGTATGTGTTGTTGTCAAGGAGGCGGTGTTGAATGAATAAGAGAACACACACCAATATGTCCTCAATGAACTGAAGTGGTATGCAGGCATAGCTTGGGGACCATTTGACATGTGACACTTCCAGTTGCACTTTGAAACTGTTTAATTCTATTAGGAACTATTTCTTTAATGGGAATTTTATCGTCTGGAAAATCAGTAAGTATATCGTCCCTAATCAGCAACCGTAGACATTTTTGCTCCAAGAAAACATGTATTGCTGCTTCCCCTTTTCAACATTTCAACCCAGAGTTTTGAGATGTGTGTGTGTGTGGTGTCAAATACTTTTAAGATTGCAGTTAGCTAAGACAGAAAGCAAAGGACATAAAATAAATAACTTGTGTACTAAATTAACAATTGAAATGATTACCCATCTCTTGAGGTAGGCTAGGAGCTTGGTATCGTCTGTCCGTCTGTCTGCCTGTCCGTCTGTGTGCATTTTAGGGATTCTGTTCTAGTAACAAGATGGCCTTAGAATGCTATGGTTGTAACATTCTGAGAATGTTTTGGGGGGCTAGAGTACTTTACTTGGATATTGTACCTACCCTACTATTGTTACATGGACATAGAATGAATGCTCCATTCTAATACCGAAAAGCACAACTATTTCATGCTTGTGTTCTTGGACGTATAAAGAGTAGAGGAGGACAGGGAGGAGAGAGAGGAGGTGAGGAGGGAGATTGCGAGAGAGGAGGTGAGGAGGGAGATTGCGAGAGAGGAGGTGAGGAGGGAGATTGCGAGAGAGGTGGTGAGGAGGGAGATTGCGAGAGAGGAGGTGAGGAGGGAGATTGCAAGAGAGGAGGTGAGGAGGGAGATTGCAAGAGAGGAGGTGAGGAGGGAGATTGCGAGAGAGGAGGTGAGGAGGGAGATTGCGAGAGAGGAGGTGAGGAGGGAGATTGCGAGAGAGGAGGTGAGGAGGGAGATTGCGAGAGAGGAGGTGAGGAGGGAGATTGCAAGAGAGGAGGTGAGGAGGGAGATTGCAAGAGAGGAGGTGAGGAGGGAGATTGCGAGAGAGGAGGTGAGGAGGGAGATTGCGAGAGAGGAGGTGAGGAGGGAGATTGCGAGAGAGGAGGTGAGGAGGGAGATTGCGAGAGAGGAGGTGAGGAGGGAGATTGCGAGAGAGGAGGGAGAAAGAGGTAGGGGCCAAGATGAAGGTGGAAGGGGACTGCACCTGCGGAGGCCATACCACCTCCACAGCCCCAGCTCTAAAGACCAACGACTGCACCTGAATGATCAGCTGAGAGCCCAACCCTCCTTGCCCTTTCTGTGAGTAGTAGCACCAGGTTTGGAGTCAATTCCATTTCAGTTTAGTCAATTCAGGAAGTAAACTGATATTGGAATTTTTGTTTACTTCCTGAATTGAAATGGAATTGACCCCAACCCTGTTAGCTACAGCTAACTTGCTTACAGTGGGAGGAGTGTGTTCTTGAGGTACAGTAAATAAAGGCCTTTGCACAATTTCTTTCAAACTGGCAACAGGAACAGTAGACTTTGTGGCTTAAGGTATTATAATTTAGATTTGAGCCTGTACAAACAAGGGATAGATACTCATGTCTCATAACTGTTTTATAGCAGTGCGTACCTTTCTCAGTCTTGAACGTGACCCTGACGAACCCGTCATCCTTCTCGCTCTTGCACTTGGGGTCAAGGCCTGGAGGAAGGGAAGGGTCAAGAGTGCAAAGGTCAAATTACATGTCAAAAGGTCAAAGGTCACATCAGGAAGTCATCTGAAGGAAAAAAATTACGTGACAGAGGTTGAAATAGGTTGATGCATGCCATGAGTGGAGTGTGTCTGACTGTGATTGAGGGCACATAGGGCTCTGGTCAACAGTACTGCACTATATAGGGAAGAAGGTGCCATTTGGGGTGAAAACATTGTGTGTAACCTCTGGCATGTTGATGAGGACATGGCCTACCATTGGAAGTTTCTGGAGTGATGTCCTCAAAGAAGTACTGGGTGGCCTCGAAGGCAGAGTCTGGCTCCTCCTGCTCATGGGCCACCTCTAGTAGGGGACAGGAAGGGACAACATCAACATTTTGGTCATTATCATTGTTATTCTAATTGATAGCATTTATATAGCGCTTTTCCAGACGCTCAAAGTTGTGTAAGGGCATTATCATAACGCCTCAAACATTGCAGTTGAAAAAGACATCACACATCCCAATGTTTGATCATAAGTCTGAAATCAATGCCTTTATCAGTCATTTCTGTATCCTCTTCCTCCTTTCTCGCTCAACATCTGTTAGTTCTCAACATATTATTGTGATACCGTGCCAGAGACAATGTTTACATGTTTCTTTGTGGCTGGCACGGGAAGAAAAGCAAACCACAGCATTCCGAGAACCAAAACAATAGCTGCTTCAGGCTTTGCTGTTACACATGGAATTAACGCCAGCTGAGCCATGAAAGCTCTTCTGATTGAGAGGTAGATTTACAGCCCAGTTAAAATACTGGTGTGTGTCTAGAGAAGGGAAGCGTCGGTTGGTGCTCCATATGCTCAACCAAGCGAGGGAGAGAACAAAACAAGCCTTCTTACATTTTTGATTTTCTCCTTCCTAATTTTTTACAGTAAATAAATCCAATCCCCTATCCTCAAAACACCCTCCCCCTCACTCAGTTATGACAGTATATAAGGAGTATACATTTCCCTCTGGACTTCTTTTCCTCTCTGTGAACAGTACACACACACACACACACACACACACACACTTACCAGGCATCACGTGCATCTTGTAGAGGAGCTTTAGTTTCTCAGTCAGGTCCCCATGGCATAGAACACCTGAAATACACCAGACGTTATCATTGGTCAGAACATTTCATTATGTCTATATAGACTTAATATCCATTTTGACCAGTTGCTACAATCATTTGTCAACTTCTTTTTGCAACAAAGATGTTGAGGACATACATTGCAAAATAGATACACCCCTCACCCACCTCCACCCCCACCAATACTCACTCAGTCCACTAATAAACTCCCGGAAGTTAATCAGAGAGTCTCCGTTATGGTCCAGGAGCCTGAAGAAGCGCAGGGCCAGGGGGTCTGCATGGGCCCCGTTGGCCCCGTTGGCAGGGGCCCAGGGGAAGAGCAGGGAGAACAGCCCCCTGAACTGCTCCAGGTCGATGCGGTACTGCTCCAGGTAGGGCAGGCTGGGGTCGTGGCGCTCCGTGGGGTTGCTGCCACCCGTGCTGCCCCAATAGCAGCTGGTCAGGTGTTCCGCCTGATAGATTATAGAAATAGATTCAACAGGGTTTAAATTAGAATTATATAAATATATTACATTTATATAGCAGTTTTCTATAAAGTATAAAGAAGCGAGATGAGGTGGAATGAGACCGAATGGTGATGCCTATGCTAAGGGGGAAATGTGGTCGCCCACGGTGAGGAAATGCACAGATGCCGCTGAATTGCTTTGCACAATGTTCTAATGGATATGTACTTGATTTCAACAGAGAACAAGTGTAGAATGTAAACATTGCATCATGCTATGTTCTTCATGCTTTACAGATTTTCCTAAAAAAACACAACCTTGGGTATTATAAGTCCTCTACTTCCCACTTCTCATATCTTATACCAACACCCCTGACCATTAGAACTGTGCTGAAGACTCATCTGTCTTTCTCCATGTCCTCTAACAGAACTGAGCAGTGAGCGTACGTTGTGTTAATGGATGAAGAGTAAAATGCTGTTGCCAGGGTTTTAGCTATGTGTCTCTATGGATATTAAGTCCCGGCTCCAATTATAGCCCATAATTCAGCGTTGCCGTGGCAGCATGGCACTACGTGAGAGCTAGGAGAAATGAGACACCCTGCCAAAGAGAAAGGGAGGCTGAGGAAAAGCAATACAGGAAGATATGAGTTCCTTTAAGTTCCTATTGGTTAGAGGGAAGTTCCTTTAAGTTCCTATTGGCTACAGTAGTTTGGCTGTCACTCTAACCTTGAACAGAACGTAAAGCTCCTCCAGTTCGTCGATGCTGAAGGCAGTCTCTGTGACAATGGTTCTGACCTGAAAGAGAACAGAGGATTTAGGAGCTGTGTGAGGAGATCAGTACTAACCAGCATTGAATACAATCAGTAACACACACTCCTCAACCTCTAAAAACAGCCCTGAGAGCAGTAACAATGGCTTAAAATGACTTGAAATCCTCCACAGCCAACATCTGATGTACCATACAGTGTGTGTGATAGCAGGGGTCTTTACCACGTTGCGTTTGGTGGTGTCCTCGATGGTCTGAATGACCCTTAGCCTCTGTTTGAAGCGCATCTGCTCGATCACGTCCGCCCGGATGGAGCCAAACTTCTACAAACAGCCACACGGGACAGAGAGAGAGAGAGAGGTCAACACTGCTGCTATCCCACGGCTGGGATATCCACTGAGACTGCATAATCACCAGCCAGAGTAAAGGTCAAAACAGAGCGACAGTTCTACCAGTGAATACACTTGGGTCTAGGAAGCGGGGTTGGGCTGAATTCCATTTAAACTCAATTGACTGAATTGAAATGGAATTGACCCAATCTCTGGCAGAATGAAGGAATGATTGAATGACGGGTGGATGGCCCTGGTCATGGTGTGGAGACCCACCTCGTAGGAGCTGCGGACCAGCTTGAAGATGTCCACCTCTGGGTGGGGCTCCCCATCGTCTGTCAGCAGGGAGTGGAGGTGGGGGATGGGGGGCAGGGTGCTGTCCTTATTGGTCACGCTGTCCAGGTACCTACACACACAATGGACGTTTCAAGCATATTCCTTGAGCAAAGGCTTCTCTATGAAAAGGTTATTTAAATAAATCACAACCAAATCATTCATATCGTCAAAGAAAGTTTTTCAATATAAAGTTTTAATTGAGTTCTCCGCAAAAGAAGAAGCGTTGTTATTGCTCAGTGTTTCAAAACAAGATGAAAATCTCTCGTGTCACATCCACCAATACAATTTGACCTTTGACCCCTGACTCATGGGGTCTGCTCTGAGGGAAAAACTAAAGTAGCATGACTGACCAGCAAACCCATGTTGAATGACCTAATTAGTTATGGTTAGGATTAAGGTCAGGACAAAGGTTAGGGTTTTAGTTTAGGTTCAGGTTAGGTTCAGTGTTCCAGTCATGGGTTGGCCTACCAGTCATGTCCCTTTAGTCCAGGGCTGTTCCAATTCTGGTACTGCAGGGCCAAAACACTTCTGGTTTTCATCAGACCTGGGGCACCAGGTGAACACAATTAACTACCAGGTAGAAACAAAAATCAAGAAGTGTTTCTGTCCTCCAGGACCGGAATTGAAAAGCCCCTCGTCGGTCCGCCACCCCCCCGTCCTCACCTTCCCAGCACGGTCATAGCCTCTCCGTCGTCCTTGGCCTCCAGCAGCTGGTGGATGTTGGCGTGTAGCACGCTGAGCGCCAACTGGAAGATGACCTTGATGCCCTCGTAGAAGAAGCAGTCGACCACCACAACGGCGCTCTCGAAGGGCATGACACTGAGGAACAGGGTGAGGAACCAGGAGAGGGAGATGGTGGAGATGACTCCCAGGTCCTGCATGCAGTCGTAGAGTTCAGGGACGTACTCCCTGGCCAGCTCCTCAAATACACCCTGGTCCACCAGAGCCCCTGGAGAAGGAGAAGGAGAAGCGGGAGGGGAGGTTAGAGAGACAGACGTGGGAGGGGAGGTTAGAGAGACAGACGTGGGAGGGGAGGTTAGAGAGACAGACGTGGGAGGGGAGGTTAGAGAGACAGACGTGGGAGGGGAGGTTAGAGAGACAGACGTGGGAGGGGAGGTTAGAGAGACAGACGTGGGAGGGGGAGGTTAGAGAGACAGACGCGGGAGGGGAGGTTAGAGAGACAGACGCGGGAGGGGAGGTTAGAGAGACAGACGCGGGAGGGGAGGGTTAGAGAGACAGACGCGGGAGGGGAGGTTAGAGAGACAGACGCGGGAGGGGAGGTTAGAGAGACAGACGCGGTAGGGGAGGTTAGAGAGACAGACGCGGGAGGGGAGGTTAGAGAGACAGACGCGGGAGGGGAGGTTAGAGAGACAGACGCGGGAGGGGAGGTTAGAGAGACAGACGTGGGAGGGGAGGTTAGAGAGACAGACGTGGGAGGGGAGGTTAGAGAGACAGACGTGGGAGGGGAGGTTAGAGAGACAGACTCTTGGAGAGAGACAGCCCACGAGAGAAACAGAAAAGAGGCCTACGCATACACTGATACACTAAGAGGGAGAGTGATGCCAACAGATATGCACACAGACATAAAACAGACACACTGAGACAAAGTTAAAACACAGAGGCAAACACACCAGTCTGCCAAAAAGCCACCAATTGCCCTACTACAAGCCTCATTCCAGAAGCTTCCAACTGACCTACGACCCTGGTGTTGTAGTAGTCAGGCAGCATTCTCTCACACAGAGCCACCAGCAACCAGAAGGCCTCCTCCTCCTTAGCATACAGCAGCAGCACCGACGTCACTATGTTCATGGCCTAGGAAGAAGAACCAAGATTATTAATAATAATAAATTCAACTTCTATGGCGCTTTTCTTTACAGAAAGAATCTGAAAGCGCTTCAAAAAGCAAAACAAACAATAATAAAATAAAACAGCTATGTGACAGAGTAGGTCTGGACTCCAGTTTTTACGCAGAGTTTAACGTTGTCAGAGTTTCAAGCTGCCAACAGATGGACCGGCAGTCAAGAGGGAACCACATGGCTTGGACCCGTGAGGGGAACCATGATAAGGGACCCACAGGGGAGTCAGGACAGCTAGAGGTGGCAAACTAATATGGGACTTGACCATTTATAAAACTGAAGAGCAGTGTGAATGTTTGTGTAGTAAAATAAGTGTGTGTGTGCGCAACAAGCTCTCACGGTCTCACTGCAGAATCAGACGTTTGTCCATAAACACAACATTTAGAACAGGGGTGTCAAACGTACGGCCCGCGGGCCGGATCAGGCCCGCAAACGGGTTTAATCCGGCCCGCGAGATGATAAAAAATAAATAATAATAATTTTGTAAAGTATAAAAATGCGCTGCAATTTTTCAATAAACTGCTGTTCCAATTGCGTCCACTGGATGGCGCAATAGCAATTGTGTTAAGCAAGCAAACTGTTTATACCGGGGCAGAGCAAGTAGGTCAAGCACGTGCAGCCAATGAGCTACTTTGTTTTGCCCGCGATATTTATTACGGCTTCTACTTTTAACATTATGTGCTTTGGCACCCTCATTGCCCCAATATGTCTCTGTCAAAAAAGAGAAAAGTGGACGCAGAGTGCAGAGTGTTCCAAGAAAAATTGTCATCCTATTTAATCACGGAATTGAATGGGAAAGCTGTATGTTTGGTGTGTTCAGAGCATGTTGCAGTGCTGAAAGAATATAACCTTCGTCGCCACTATGTGAGTCTTCATGCCGACAAATATGACAACTTTCAAGGACAGCGGAGATGAGAGAAGGTGAATGAACTGTTGGCGGGTCTGAAGAAACAGCAGTCTGTGTTTACTCACAGCCGAGACATCAGTGACGCTGCAGTGAAAGCTAGCTACCTCATTGCTAATGAAATCGCAGTGGCTTCAAAACCATTTAGTGAGGGTGAATTTGTAAAAACATGCATGATGAAGGCAGCGGAGATTGTGTGCCCTGAAAAGCGGCAGGCTTTTGCAAATATCAGCCTGACAAGAAACACAGTTGCAGACAGGATTTCCAATCTTTCAGTGGATTTGGACAGCCAGTTGAAGCAAAAAGTAAAGTCATTTATTGCGTTTTCGGTTGCAATTGATGAAAGCACGGACATTACAGATGTTGCACAACTGGCCATTTTTTCATCCGCGGAGTTGATGACACATTGACCGTCACCGAGGAGTTCGTGGAGTTGGTGCCGATGACAGATACAACGACAGCAGCTGATATTTTTACCGCACTCGTCGGCGCGCTGGACAGGGTCGGAGTGGACTGGTCCCGCGCTGTCAGCCTGGCTACAGATGGTGCGCCCTCAATGATCGGGAAAAAAGCAGGCGTTGTGACAAAGTTCAGAGAGAAAGTGCAATCTGCAAATGGAGGACGTGATTTTTTGACTTTTCACTGTATTTTGCACCAGGAGGCTTTGTGTTGCAAGTCATTAAAGATGGATAACGTCATGAAGGTGGTCATCCAAACTGTTAATTTCATCCGATCCAGAAGCCTGAATCACCGTCAGTTTGACAGCCTTCTCAGAGAGAAAGACCACATCTATGGCCTGCCATACCACACTGAGGTAAGATGGTTAAGCCGAGGTGCTGTGCTGAGGCGTTTCTTTGATTTACGAGAAGAAATTGAACAGTTCATGGAAGAAAAGGGCAAACCAGTGTTAGAATTTCATTCCGCAGAATGGATGCCGGACCTTGCATTTATGGTGGATGTTACAGAGCACCTGAATAACTTGAACAAACAGCTGCAAGGGCGCAACAAAGTTGTCACGCAGTATTATGACAGCATACGTTCTTTCAAGTTGAAGCTGTCATTGTGGGAGACGCAACTTGCCGGTGGTGATGCAGCTCACTTCCCCTGTCTGAAAACTGTGTGCGCGACCCAACATGTGGCAGACATGAAGCGGTTCAAAGATAAAATAACGGGACTGTTACGGGAGTTTGAGCAACGCTTTCAGATTTATGTTTATATGTTTTTATGTTGATGTGCTATTGTTTTTAATTGATTTTATTTTATTTGTATATTTAACCTATTCTTGACTCTGTGGTTCTTGCACTTGTTTGGGGAACAGGATTTCATTATTTTTATCTACATTTCTGCCTGAGAAATGACACCCTGATATAGTTCTGTGATCTGTGATATACTTCTGTGAATCACTGAGGCATTGTGTGTTTGTGTGTTCTTTGTCCTCAGAACTTTCAAATAACTTGGTGTTTTATAATTAATAGTGATGTTGTGCTTTTGGACACTGTCCTCAGGCTCCAGCTTTATGTTTATATGTTTTTATGTTGATGTGCTATTGTTTTTAATTGATTTTATTGTATTTGTATATTTAACCTATTCTTGACTGTGGTTCTTGTACTTGTTTGGGGAACAGGATTTCATTATTTGTATCTACATTTCTGCCTGAGAAATGACACCCTGATATAGTTCTGTGATCTGTGAAACAGTTCTGTTAATCACTGAGGCATTGTGTGTTTGTGTGTTCTTTTTCTTTCGAATTTTCAAATAAACTTGACGTGTTTTATGATTAATAGTGATGTTGTGCTTGTACTATTTTGGACACACTGTCCTCAGGCTCCAGCTTTGTTGTATGTTGATCGTATTAAAACAAAGAAAACAATCTGAAGTTGTTGTTTTTAAGTTATATATACCATGATTTTTCCGGTCCGGCCCACTTGGGAATAGATTTTCCTCCATGTGGCCCCTGAGCTAAAATGAGTTTGACACCCCTGATTTAGAAGGTTAAGTTCAGGCATTAATTCCGAATGGTTAAATTAAGGGTTAAGGTTTGGGATTAAAGGGTTAAAATAACAACAGTTAAAACTAGTGCATATCACTGGGATTGAACACGCGACCCTCTGAGCCGGAGCTCGCAGCTTACGCCCTGCTTACCTGGACGGACGTCTAATTTGGCAGTGTATCTTGAGCGACCTGGCTGGTGTGTCTGTGTGTGTATACTATGTGTGTACCTGGCAGTAGCCTATGTTTGGGTTTCTGAAGGCGTACGCAGTGAGGACCCTTCGTAGGGCAGCGATCCCCATCTCGTTCTGGAAGGCTGGGTGTTCGGGGAGGGAGCGGTGCAGGTCTCTCTCGATCTCCTCCGTGGCCAGGTTGTACTTCCCCATAGATTTCTCTACCAGGTCCTCATAGTAGCCAGGGTGGGTCGCCATCTCATTGATCGCCCCTGGGTGGGGAGTGACCACAGTTAGTATAGTGTTAAACGAGGCCTTTGGCACCAGACCACCAGACAACTTCTGGTTAAAAAGTCTGGCTGGTGATTGGCTGGTGGAACATAAAGTTAATATCAGGCCTTTGTTTTAAACCTCGCTGCATTATGTAGTAACTATATTGGGGGGTTTGCATTGCAATAGCTTTAGGAAAGTTGCCAACAAACGGAAGTTCCAGTTTTCAAGGGAAATGAAAGAGGGTGCCTGTAATGCGACTTCCGCTTTTGGACGTTAACAAGGCGACACTCCATCTTAACTCCTATTCCACATTTACTGGATTGGTTGAACAGTGCAGAAGAGAACCTCCCCAAAACAGTTATTTTGTATTATCTTCAAGATATTTGTATTATCTTTGTATTATCTTGTATTATCTTCCATGCAGGGGATCTAGTGTCAGGTGTTTGGCTACCATTTCAATGGCGTTGCATAGTCAACGTAATCAGTTGCAGAAATGGTTAGAGTGATGAAACCAGAACTCAAGACATGCCATTGCTCATTCCATCTCTACTAACTGAGGGATGTGGCAAGCAGCCAGTAGACATGCAGTAGTAAGCCTTCCACTCTCGCTTTAGGCAGAATCCCTTCTACACTGAACCCTTAGTGCCTTTATAGCCCCCCCCCCCTCCCTCCTCCCTACTCCCAGCCATGACTGTGCACTGAGAGCAACAACACAGGCCAAACCATTCAGAGAAAGGGGGAGGGGACCTTCAAGCAGAGAAGTGCATTCCCTGGGTAAAAGCGTGGTGAACCAGTCTCTCAACATCCTCAAACTCGCTCTTCTAGCTCAGTGAAATGCAGGCTTATCAACTGTACCCACTGTGATAGTGAGTGTGAGTAGAGGGACAAGTACAGAGGTTGCATTCAAATGCTGCATCTTTTTCCACATAAAAGCACAGCTAGCGAGCTACGCCGACAGAGACACTAGGCTAACATGTAAACACACCAGTCCCTCCAGGAAGTGCAGATGTATGGCTGCCATAGCGACCGCAGAAGGTTCCACAAGTAGGTCACTAGCGGACGGAAGGAGCAGTTTATAGCCTGCAACTCCCCAAAGGTAGATAAGCGCTAACTGCTAGTGCTGTCGCGTGGCTGCAAGGCATTTACTCCAGGAAGAAGAGAGGATGAAGTATAAAAACATTGTTTGGTGAGCTTAGCAGTGACTCTCCCTGTAGACCTACTGGTTCTTCACGTTTAAATATATAGGTCAGCTTTTCACAGCTATGGTGGCCACAACGTAGTCCTACGTCTCCAACCCAACCCCTACGTAAGCTGCTGTATTTGTAAAGCAGACTGTCAGTGTTCAGTGTGGCTTAAGCAGGCTATAGAATGTGTGCTTTTTACTGTAATAAGCTGTAGCAGTGAACGTCAAGCATGCAGCCCAGTTACTAGATCCCCTGCATGGAAGATAATACAAAGATAAGATACTGCTGCTCAGGCAGCAGATGGGAACGGAATGCGTTGCCAAGGCCAAGCTAATGCATGTTTAAATGAGAGGCTACCCAAATCCATATGTACACTGAAAGAAAAGCTCATATTTGACGGTCAATACTTCTAATACACCTGGATGATGAACCATTCTGTGCTCAAACCACAAAAGGGGGAATGAAATGTTGATTAAACTCATTACTATAGTAACAATAACTATAGTCATGAGATGTGTGGTCCCACCACAGGATGCTGGATACAGGTTAGGAGTTGGTGTATGAGTGTGTGAGCACGTAGTACTGTCTATCTGTGGTCTTACTGTGTATCTGCATGGCTTGTGGAGATGCAGAATGAGTGAAAGTAGAGTATGTGAATATCAAGAACCGGCAGACATAATGTATTATAAACTGGGTGGTTCGAGCCCTGAATGCTGATTGGCTGACAGCCGTGGTATACCACGGGTATGACAAAACATGTATTTTTATTGCTCTAATTACGTTGGTAACCAGTTTATAATAGCAATAAGGCACCTCAGGGGTTTGTGATATATGGCCAATATACCACGGCTAAGGGCTGTGTCCAGGCACTCCGTGTTGCGTCGTGCTTAGAACAGCACTTAGCCGTGGTATATTGGCCATATTGACCATATACCACACCTCCTCGGGCCTTACTGCGTAAATATACAAATGACTATGTACAGTGAATGTGAGAGTGTATTGTGTGTGTGCGTGTAATGTATGTGTGTGTTTGTGATCGTGCCCACGTCTGACTGTTTGTGAGAGCGCGTGCGACTGTTGGCCTCACCAGAGAAGAGCAGCCACAGCTCTCCCCTCATGTTCTCTGGGATGCCTTTAAGCACCAGGTCCTTGGTCTTCTCTGTACGGTACATACACACCCCCTGGCCATACTCGGTGAAGTGGTTCTTCCACGCCTGTTCCTTCAGGAACTCCTTGGCCTGGGGAAAAATAAAAATGGATAGTTAATCTTGCATGTGTAAGAGAAAGGAAAAAGAGAGATGTCATAAGAGCCACATTTCATGCCAGTAAAGCTCACCTTAGAGAGAACTATAGAATGATGTATTAGGACACATACACAGAGACAGAGAGAGACAGAGAGACACAGAGAAAGAGAGAGAGAGACACAGAGAGAGAGAGCGAGAGAGAGAAAGACACACAGAGAGACACAGAGACAGAGAGCAAGAGCGACACATAGAGCGACACAGAGAGCGACACAGAGAGTGACACAGACCCTTGCAACAGCTGAGCCAACAAACCAACTTCTCTGCGGAAAGCAAAAAAAATGACTAGCCTCGTACGAACCGTCCTAATCTCTGTTTCGATACACGCAGAATGTAAGCTCGCGAGATCAGGATGGTTCGTAGGAGGCTTAAAAATGACTACCTCATAAAATATTGAGCCAGAGAGCCCTCAAAGCCTAAACAATGTTTCTAACTTCCGACACAGACGTATCTAGCACAAATACTCCCCATGAGGTCTCTGAAGAATTTGATTAGGGATTTGTTTACTTCAATTAACTTGGGTCTAATATACCTTCCACACACTCCCCCTCCATTGGTCTACATCAGCAACTTCACTGCAGGCCTTTTGAATTGTGCAGTGCAAAGCCTGCTGGAGGTTAGATCAGGACCAGAACATAGTGACTGCAGACTGCAAGCCAAGCATTGTTTTAGATCAAGGTTGAGACAATGATGGCGCTGATAGACATGGCCGCTCTGTTTCTGGCTCCTAAGCAACTTTGCAGTATTTTGTTGTTGTGTATTGTTAGACATTACTGCACCATTGGAGCTAGGAACACAAGCATTTCGCTACACCCGCAATAACATCTGCTAAATAGGTGTATGCGACCAATACAATGTTATTTTATTTGAGGCTTGGCTTGGGAGAAGCCTCAAGTTATTACTTGCAGATATTGAATTCCCAATGGCTTAGTCAGCATGCAGGTATACACACGCAATTACAATTTGTTACAATATTTTGTCACTGTAAGTAAATGTTTTCAACTCAATCAATTCATTTAGTCCCAGTTCAGTTCCATCAATCATCATGTGCAATCATTCCAATTCTCTACTATAGCAATAGAGCATCTTCTTACGTTCGACCACATGTGACCAGAACCGTATATGCCGTGACCATTCAATGACCGTACCAGTTTGGGGTTGAACTCCTCTGGCGAGCGGCGGCGGTACATGGTCATGAGGGCCTGGGTGGCGGTGGGCACGCTGTTGTCGTTGAGGTTAAACTGGCGCTCGCCCTCAGAGAAGCCCTCTGACCCCAGGCTGCTGCGCTGGGGACTGCTGGAGAGGAGAGAGCCCTGCTGGGAGTACACCTAGAGGAGAGCGAGAGAGAGACAGATTCAGGATCAGAGTTAGGAGATTGTTGATGCAGTCAATTATCATGAGTTTATCATAACAGCTGTTCTGAGACCTGTGATGAGATGCCAAACTAATAATAATGAGAATACACCTTGTGGAGAGCAACACAGGTCCAGGATCAGGGCAAGGATAGTTAATGCAATGTGCTTTATGATAAGAGCTGATCAGAGACCTGTGATAATAATCATGGCAAGTCTATTTACTGAAGACCTGGAGGAGAGGGAGACTTATCAGCAAACTGGGGGAGCAGTTGTGGAATAGATTTAAATTATGTACAACATCCTAGATATACAATGACAGATGTGCCCTCACCTCGTCGTCGGAGCTGTTCACACTCCCGGTAATCTCCCTCTCGAAGTAGATCTTGGAGGTGGTCTGCTGCAGGAAGTCAGAGATCCTCTGGACCAGGAAGTCCCGGTCCTTGAGGTTGGCGAACAGGAAGGTCATCTTGTTCTTGGTGCTGATGGACAGTGGGCTGGGCAAAAAGTTGGAGCTGTCCGCCTTCTCCACTATCGTCACCTGGGAGGGACAGAGACACAGAGGTCAGTCACAACAGATGTGTAAGTCACAACAGATATGTCATTCATTTATCAGTCACAACAGATATGCCAGTCATATGCCAGTCACAACAGATATGCCAGTCATATGCCAGTCACAACAGATATGCCAGTCACATGTCAGTCACAACAGACATGTCAGTCATATGTCAGTCACAAGATACAGTACGTCAGTGATATGTGATGTGAGGATGCAACATACGTCTACTAAGATATACATCTCCTATTTCATATGAGAAAGTGTTCGATGTAGCACTCGATGTAGAACATGAACTACACTAACCCATCGCAAATGTATTGATTTATTTAACCTTCATCTAACCACATAGGCCAATATTCCCATGTGCAATGACCAAAGGCCAACATACCATACCAAGCACACAATAGGTTTCACCATATCAACACTTCAACCCACATACTAGGTGACTGAATCAATTCAGTGCCACACATCACAACACTAGGCATTAGTAGTCGATCCACACTCTGCCCTGCCAGCGATTAAGGCTGTGGGGTAGTTTAAGATGGCTGATGGGGATGGGATGTGACAGGGTGGACTCCTGATCGCCAAGGCAATGGCTGGGTGAGGGGCAGTGACTAAAGCAGATTGGGAGTGACAGCCCCCTACCAGAGTGTGTTAACCCGGCCGCTGCTCTTTCTAAATGCCCTGCTAGTATGCACCCTACAGCGGCAGACACAGAACTTGTCAAAGGGTCAAAGGTAGCCTTTCTTTCCTGATGGAAAATCTCAAATCTATAGTGGTCCCATATTGACTTTTGTCTTAGCATCATCCGAAATTGTCAAAAAAGGCTAGCTCAACGGTCACCAACCTGGAATCCCAGAGAGCTCCAGGACTACTCACCTCTCTTAGAGGGATGATGAGGCTGCACAGGGTCTCCTCCTTGGAAGTGAAGCAGATGTAGTTAGTGGAGACAAACATCTGGCCCAGAATGTGCATCTTGTTGAAGGGGGTCCAAAGGGTGCAGCCTGTGTGTCCGTCCAGCTTCTCATCCTTGGGCAGACGGAACAACGCCCGGTAGCGCTCGCTCTTAGCCCTGGCATCCAGGTCCCTGGGTGAGACAACAACAAGGTTCAAGAGATGGTCTAGAGATGGCCAAGAATCCACTTCGGAACATAATGTTATCTTTTAATAGCAGCAGTTAGTTGAGATTTTAACAGTCTTGGTGTTTAGGAAAAAAAATGGGTGGTGGACCATTCTTGATACACACGGGAAACTGTTGAGCGTGAAAAACCCAGCAGCGTTGCAGTTCTTGACACAAACCGGTGCGCCTGGCACCTATTATCATACCCCATTCAAAAGGCACTTAAATCTTTTGTCTTGCCCATTCACCCTCTGAACGGCACACATACACAATCCATGTCTCAACTGTCTCTCAAGGCTTGAAAATCCTTCTTTAACCTGTCTCCTCCCCTTCATCAGTCTGCCATGGAAAGAGCAGACATTCGTAATGCTTTGTACACTGTGTATTTCCATACAATTGTATGTATTCCAAATACATTTATAAATGTATGTCACGCATTAATATACATTTCAAAATGCATCAAAAATACATTTTGCCAATTAGTTATATTTCACATGTATCCTAAAATGCATCAAAATAAAATATTTGAAATGTATTTTTTTCTCCCCAATATGGGGAAAACCAGGTCAATGGAGTGAAAGAGCACTTTGAGACCAAGTATGACAGTATAATACTGCAATAGACATCTATATAGGGCAACAGTTACTACTACAATAGACATCTATATAGGGCAACAGTTACTACTACAATAGACATCTATATAGGGCAACAGTTACTACTACAATAGACATCTATATAGGGCAACAGTTACTACTACAATAGACATCTATATAGGGCAACAGTTACTACTGCAATAGACATCTATATAGGGCAACAGTTACTACTACAATAGACATCTATATAGGGCAACAGTTACTACTACAATATACATCTATATAGGGCAACAGTTACAACTACAATAGACATCTATTATGGGCAACAGTTTATACTACAATAGACATCTAATAGGGCAAACAGTACTAATACAAAGACATCTAATAGGGCAACATTCTACCTGACCCAAAAGACATCTAAAAAACAAAAAAAGGGGGAAAACGTTTTGCTACCCCTAAGGGAAACAAAACAGCAATGCCTTTAAGGGAAAATTTCTAAAGTCTTATGGGGAAACATTCTCTGAAAAGAAAAAACCTTTAAATTTTTTTTTTTTCCCATAAATTTTGGGAAACATTTATAAAAAAAATAACATTTTTAAGGGCATCAAAATATTTTAAAAAATTTTAAAGGGAACGTTACCTACAATAACCTATAAGGGAAAATTCAACAATGAAAATTTTCAAAAGGGAAAAAAAAAAAAAAAGGGGAAAACTTTAAATCCCCGAAAAACATCTTTGGGGCAACATTTTACTATCCATAGACTCTAATAGGGAAACAACTTAAAAAACTCAATTACAAAGAAAAAATCTTTTATAGGGAAAAATTCACAACAAAGTTTAAAAGGGAAACTTCTTTAAAAAAAATCAAAAGGGGGCAACTTTTACTATTTTGAAAATTTTAAACCAAAAAAATGGGACATCTTTGGGAAACTTATTTAAAAAAAATTAAAAATAGGGCCATTACCTCGAAAAATTCCCCAAAAGGGGCTCTTTAAAACCAAAACACAATTACCCAAAAATTTAACCCAAAACAAAAACCCAAAAAAAACAAAACACAAAAAAACAAGGGGCAACAGTTAACTAAAAAATATATAGGGAAAAAACTCAAAAATCAATTAGGGCAAAATTTACTACAAAACTTTATATGGGCAACAGTTACTATAAAAATTGGGGTTTCCGTTACTATAAATAGACTTTTAATATGGCCGCCCCCACAAAAAAAAAATTTTACAACAACTACCAAAACTTTTAAAAATTACAAACCCTGCAAAGCCAAAATTAACAACAACCTCAAAAACCCAAGGCAAAACACTCAAAACCTTTCAAAAACCTCAAAACAAAAGGGAAAAGTTCTTAAAAACACAAAACACAAAAAACCCCCAAAAGAACAAAAAAAAACTTTAACCCCCTGACATCATATGGGAAACGTTCTCTAAAACATCTATATGGGAAAACATTTTACTACTAAAAATTAAATTTTTTAAAAACATTTACTCAATAGAAAAGGGAAAAATTTACATTAAAAAACTTAAAAGGCCCCAATTTAAAATTACTTTAATGGGTTAAGTCGTATGAAACCTAATGTCATTCTTGTTTTAAACTGCGTGCTACATCATGGAGTACACCACCCACCTCCTCAGCTGGTTTTCCTTCAGGCACAGTGGAACAAGACTTTACATTTCTTTCCTCTGAAGTAATTAGTATTTTGTTGTGGTGGTCTTATGTAGTCATTTAGTTAAGTCTTAGTATATTGTTTATTAAACTGTGTAACACTTACAATGCCATGCAACCACATGGAAAGGTTGTGAATGGTTATAGGTCACCCGCAGCAAAGACTTTTGTAATGTTATGCAGCATTATAAATGACTACATTATGACTAAACTACTGCATCTCCCCAGAAACCAATCCACCGAACCTCGAGGGGAGACCAACAAACCTCTCTCAACTACAACATCCAGCCTCACCAAACCTCCCCAGAACCCCCAACAGAACTTCACCAAACCGCCCAAGAAACCCACCAGAACCTCCCAAGAACCCCCTTCACCAAACCTCACCTCTTGAGAGCGGACACCTTTTTGGGTGTCTTCCTCTTGAGTTTGGGCAGGGAGCGGTCCTGCTCAAAGCCCTTGTTGTCGAGGAGCTGCCTCATGGCGATGTTGGCCAGCTGCTCCATCAGCTTGAAGGTCTCGTTGACGTTGAGGAAGACCGAGAAGACGTGCTCGGCCACCCGCGTGCTCACCTTGACCGAGGAATAAATGAAGGTTAGAGGGGTCTATGGATGGATAAAGAGAGGTTAAAGAGATGATAACATGCAGTATAGTTGATATGATTTAAAAGGCTCACCTTGACGGCGTCGGGGAGGAGAAGCGTGGCACTTTTCTCCAGCTGGGTGATGTCGGCCCAGCGGATCACCAGCTTGGCTGAGGGGGGGAGGGGGGAAGAAAGAGGGAGAGAGAGAGGGAGAGAGAGAGAGAAAGATAGATTGAAGAAGAGAGATGGTTGCATTTATTAATTTTTGGGTTGCTTAAAAGCTGGTAGTTTGAAATATACATCATTTCATCTAACATCTTAAAAAAAAATATCCACCAAACATTGTATATCAAGGGGTTGTCCTACTCCTGAGCCCATTGACTTCTATAACAAAAATAAATAAAAAATGTATGCACTCACTCACACTCAGTAAGTCGCTCTGGATAAGAGCGTCTGCTAAATGACTAAAATGTAAATGTAAATGTCCTACTTTTGCGGCTTCTGAAGGGTCTTCAAAAGCAATGCATAATCGGTATGTAGTATAAAAACAGTTGTGTAGTGGTGTCTGTACCTGTGCCAGCATGCCAGTGGTCCCTACCTTCTTTCCCCAGCAGGTAAGAGTAGAAGCAGATGTGGTTGATGCTGAGGTAGAGCCAGCCCTGCCGGGGCACCTTGCCCTTCCAGTAGCTACAGGAGTAGTAGTTGACCAGCTTCTCCTCTTCAGGCATGCCAAACAGCTTACGGAACTTACAGATGGCCTCCTTGAACTTGTCAGTGTCGTCGTCCTCCTTCACGTCCTGGTTCTTGTTGTACTCTGCTATAATACCCTGAGGCAAGAGAGAAAGAGGGAGTGAAGGAGTTTGCGAGAGAGGGAGAGAGAGATAATCAATAAAATTCAAAAATTCATTTAAAAAATAAAGATAGATAGAGTGACTGGCAGACAAAGTGAGAACGAAAAAGAGAGAAAGAGAGTGAAAGAGAGAGAAAGAGTGTTCGATAGAAAGCATTGAGGTAATCCTTTCCCCCCCACAAACGGCCTAAAATAAATCTTATCTGGCTAGTTCTCATAATCTATTCATTGTGTAAGAACTTCTTTATCTCCAAACAGATGAATACAGAACCTGATTTAGAGGCTTTGTCAGTAGCTGGACCTGTTTTCAGGCTACACTAGTAAATACAGCAAGGCTTCCTTATTTTGCCTCTGGCAGGAGCTATTTTTACAAAACTAATTTGACTACATGCTAGGCTAATATTACACCTGGCATGATCAACAACATCATTTCACAGGCAAATGTCATACGTTTCAATGTCCAAACTGTCAAAATGAATTGCTGACAACTACCATTACTATTGTCACAAACACTATTACAAAAACGTGTGAAATTCCCCAAACCCCACCATCTAAACACAAAACATAACCAACCTTCCAAATCCCAGAGAAGTCCATACTGTCTCTTTAGATAAAAGTGGCTGCTAAGTGGCTCATATATACACTAAACAGTACCTGAACTTTGCCCTTGACAAAGGTAGTGATGTCACTCTCGTTCTCGAAGATGGACAGCGTCTGCAGGAGGTTCTGCTCCAGCCACTCCCAGTGCTCTGTGATCTCCTTACGGGAGCACCCTATGGAAGGAGGGAGGGGAGCAGGGAGACGGGGAGGGGGAGACAGGGGTGCGTCAGGGAAGTCGATTACAAGAGGCTCCCAGGAGAATGTGGAGGCATGGAGTTTCACCCATACCTCATTTTCTTTGAGACATTACAGCATGTTGTCTGAGACGTTGTTCATCATTCTTACAATTATATGCATAATGAACATATTTAGCATACTTGGACTCTAACCTACTCTTCTGGCATACTAAGTAGTATGGAAGTACATGATTCAGGACCCGGTCAGTGACAGACAGACGAGAGGAAGGACAGCAGTAACAAGCTCTTCAGTTGGCTAAGTAAGACTACTAGATACAACCACCAGGTTAAAAACCTAGGTGTGAGTTTAGACTCTGACCTAAATTGAGTCCCACATCGGAAATGTGACCAAATCAGCTTTTAATCACATTAGAAATATTGCCAAAGTGTGTCCGTTCCTCTGCCCACACTGAGACTAATACATGCTTTTATTACTACCACGCTTGATTAATGCAATGCTCTCCTGTCTGGTCTCCCCCCCCCCCCCCCCCAGAATGCAGTGTGCTTACAAAGACCAGAAGGAGAGCAACACACACAACACATATTTTAAAGTCACTGCATTGGTTGCCTGTTAGTTTTAGAGTGGATTTAGAAATTGTTTTATTGATTTTGAAAGCACTACGTGGTCTTGCACCTGAATACGTCTGATATGCTTTTAAGATATGTGCCCGGTCGGTCCCTCAGATCCTCTGGCACTGGCCTTTTAGTTGTTCCAAAGGTCAGACTCCGAACCATAACGTTTGGTCAGGCTGCTTTCAGCCACTATGGTGTTTAGAACAGCCTGCCAGAGAATCTGAGGGCCTCAAACTGTAGACATTTTTAAGAAAGACCTTATGACATACCTTTTTTTGCCGTGCTTTTACTTAAGGTTATTTTTAGTCATTTTATATATTTACATTTTAGTCATTTAGCAGACGCTCTTATCCAGAGCGACTTACAGTTAGTGAATGCATACATGGTATATATATATATATATATATATATATATATATATATATATATATATATATATATATATATATATATATATATATATATACACATGGTATATACAGTGGGGAGAACAAGTATTTGATACACTGCCGATTTAGCAGGTTTTCCTACTTACAAAGCATGTAGAGGTCTGTAATTTTTATCATAGGTACACTTCAACTGTGAGAGACGGAATCTAAAACAAAAATCCAGAAAATCACATTGTATGATTTTTAAGTAATTAATTTGCATTTTATTGCATGACATAAGTATTTGATACATCAGAAAAGCAGAACTTAATATTTGGTACAGAAACCTTTGTTTGCAATTACAGAGACCATACGTTTCCTGTAGGTCTTGACCAGGTTTGCACACACTGCAGCAGGGATTTTGGCCCACTCCTCCATACAGACCTTCTCCAGATCCTTCAGGTTTCGGGGCTGTCGCTGGGCAATACGGACTTTCAGCTCCCTCCAAAGATTTTCTATTGGGTTCAGGTCTGGAGACTGGCTAGGCCACTCCATGACCTTGAGATGCTTCTTACGGAGCCACTCCTTAGTTGCCCTGGCTGTGTGTTTCGGGTCGTTGTCATGCTGGAAGACCCAGCCACGACCCATCTTCAATGCTCTTACTGAGAGAAGGAGGTTGTTGGCCAAGATCTCGCGATACATGGCCCCATCCATCCTCCCCTCAATACGGTGCAGTCGTCCTGTCACCTTTGCAGAAAAGCATCCCCAAAGAATGATGTTTCCACCTCCATGCTTCACGGTTGGGATGGTGTTCTTGGGGTTGTACTCATCCTTCTTCTTCCTCCAAACACGGCGAGTTGAGTTTAGACCAAAAAGCTATATTTTTGTCTCATCAGACCACATGACCTTCTCCCATTCCTCCTCTGGATCATCCAGATGGTCATTGGCAAACTTCAGACGGGCCTGGATATGCGCTGGCTTGAGCAGGGGGACCTTGCGTGCGCTGCAGGATTTTAATCCATGACGGCGTAGTGTGTTACTAATGGTTTTCTTTGAGACTGTGGTCCCAGCTCTCTTCAGGTCATTGACCAGGTCCTGCCGTGTAGTTCTGGGCTGATCCCTCACCTTCCTCATGATCATTGATGCCCCACGAGGTGAGATCTTGCATGGAGCCCCAGACCGAGGGTGATTGACAGTCATCTTGAACTTCTTCCATTTCCTAATAATTGCACCAACAGTTGTTGCCTTCTCACCAAGCTGCTTGCCTATTGTCCTGTAGCCCATCCCAGCCTTGTGCAGGTCTACAATTGTATCCCTGATGTCCTTACACAGCTCTCTGGTCTTGGCCATTGTGGAGAGGTTGGAGTCTGTTTAATTGAGTGTGTGGACAGGTGTCTTTTATACAGGTAACAAGTTCAAACAGGTGCAGTTAATACAGGTAATGAGTGGAGAACAGGAGGGCTTCTTAAAGAAAAACTAACAGGTCTGTGAGAGCCGGAATTCTTACTGGTTGGTAGGTGATCAAATACTTATGTCATGCAATAAAATGCAAATTAATTACTTAAAAACCATAATGTGATTTTCTGGATTTTTGTTTTAGATTCTGTCTCTCACAGTTGAAGTGTACCTATGATAAAAATTACAGACCTCTACATGCTTTGTAAGTAAGAAAACCTGCAAAATCGGCAGTGTATCAAATACTTGTTCTCCCCACTGTGTGTGTGTGTGTGTGTGTGATATATATATATATATATATACACATACATACATACATACATACATACACACACACACACACACACACACATACATGCATACATACCACACACACACAGCTCAAAAAAATAAAGGGAACACTTAAACAACACAATGTAACTCCAAGTCAATCACACTTCTGTGAAATCAAACTGTCCACTTAGGAAGCAACACTGATTGACAATAAATTTCACATGCGTTGTGCAAATGGATAAGACAAACAGGTGGAAATTATAGGCAATTAGCAAGACACCCCCAATAAAGAAGTGGTTCTGCAGGTTGGTGACCCAGACCACTTCTCAGTTCCTAGTTCCTGGCTGAGTTTTTGGTCATTTTGAATGCTGGCGGTGCTTTCACTCTAGTGGTAGCATGAGACGGAGTCTACAACCCACACAAGTGGCTCAGGTAGTGCAGCTCATCCAGGATGGCACATCAATGCGAGCTGTGGCAAGAAGGTTTGCTGTGTCTGTCAGCGTAGTGTCCAGAGCATGGAGGTGCTACCAGGAGACAGGCCAGTACATCAGGAGACGTGGAGGAGGACGTAGGAGGGCAACAACCCAGCAGCAGGACCGCTACCTCCGCCTTTGTGCAAGGAGGAGCAGGAGGAGCACTGCCAGAGTCCTTCAAAATGACCTCCAGCAGGCCACAAATGTGCATGTGTCTGCTCAAACGGTCAGAAACAGACTCCATGAGGGTGGTATGAGGGCCCGACGTCCACAGGTGGGGGTTGTGCTTACAGCCCAACACCGTGCAGGACGTTTGGCATTTGCCAGAGAACACCAAGATTGGCAAATTCGCCACTGGCGCCCTGTGCTCTTCACAGATGAAAGCAGGTTCACACTGAGCACATGTGACAGAGTCTGGAGACGCCGTGGAGAACGTTCTGCTGCCTGCAACATCCTCCAGCATGACCGGTTTGGCGGTGGGTCAGTCATGGTGTGGGGTGGCATTTCTTTGGGGGGCCGCACAGCCCTCCATGTGCTCGCCAGAGGTAGCCTGACTGCCATTAGGTACCGAGATGAGATCCTCAGACCCCTTGTGAGACCATATGCTGGTGCGGTTGGCCCTGGGTTCCTCCTAATGCAAGACCTCATGTGGCTGGAGTGTGTCAGCAGTTCCTGCAAGAGGAAGGCATTGATGCTATGGACCGCCCGTTCCCCAGACCTGAATCCAATTGAGCACATCTGGGACATCATGTCTCGCTCCATCCACCAATGCCACAGACTGTCCAGGAGTTGGCGGATGCTTTAGTCCAGGTCTGGGAGGAGATCCCTCAGGAGACCATCCGCCACCTCATCAGGAGCATGCCCAGGCATTGTAGGGAGGTCATTCAGGCACGTGGAGGCCACACACACTACTGATCCTCATTTTGACTTGTTTTAAGGACATTACATCAAAGTTGGATCAGCCTGTAGTGTGGTTTTCCACTTTAATTTTGAGTGTGACTCCAAATCCAGACCTCCATGGGTTGATAAATTTGATTTCCATTGATAATTTGTTTGATTTTGTTGTCAGCACATTCAACTACGTAAAGAAAAAAGTATTTAATAAGATTATTTCATTCATTCAGATCTAGGATGTGTTGTTTAAGTGTTCCCTTAATTTTTTTGAGCAGTATATATATATATATATATATATATATATATAAAAATTCATACTGGCCCCCGTGGGAAACGAACCCACATCCCTGCCGGCCAAACCCTCCCCTACCTTGGACAACGCTGGACCAATTGTGCGCCGCCCATGGGTCTCCCGGTCGCGGCCGGCTGTGACAGAGCCTGGACTCGAACCAGGATCTCTAGTGGCACAGCTAGCACTGCGATGCAGTGCCTTAGACCACTGCGCCCCTCAGGAGTATTTTTTCCCATATACAGTATTTATATTTTTTAATGCATTAGTCGCATGTGCACTTTTATTTTACTATTTTAATTTGTCTCTTATTTATTGTCTTAGTTATTTTTCTCACCTTATATTTGATTTGCTAAGCACATCGAAGTGCATCTGCTGTAAGAAATGTGCTACATACATAAAGTTTGATTAAATCTAGACAGCCCATCCACTGACATTACTCTGCCGTCCCCTCTGCTCTGCCTAGATTTACTACCACACATATGGCGATGAGCTCATGGCTAGAGAGCTCATGGCTAATTAGCTTCAGATATGTTACTGTCCTACTTAAAAACTGGAAATAATAATGCCCTGCAATACAGCACACCTTAAATTCTGGGAGAAATTTAAACAATATTGGCAGGCAATTCCCTATTAGCGCTACTGTGGCTACTTGTTACCGGCTACTTAGCGCTAGTGAAATCTGAGAGCTAGTCAAGGCAGAGCCTGCTAGCACAGAAACCTCAGTGCAGTGTCCATTATGGTTAGAGGCCTCATCCTTCATCCAGCTCCCCAGTAAGTAGCTGCTCATCTCTTGGCTACATTAGTGATGATGTCTGGCAGACAGACTGCTCCACTCTCCCTCTGGGCTGGAGGATGGGAGGAGAGGGGCGGGAGGAGCGGTTGCCATTTCAAGGCCAGCCCTCAGGAGTCTTCTTCTCTGGGCTTCTATTTCAGAGAGGGTCTTCTCAACTCCTCTCCTGTTTCTTTCCTTTACTCCTTTTTCCATATGGGAGCACTCACTAAGGCAATACACACGATTCAAAGCAGTAGCATGTCCCAAGATGACATTTGAAGTCCTCCAACACAACACACACACCTTCCTATCCACCATCTCCCTCTTCCCCCCATAAAGCCAGATTAAGCTTCAGACCGTTCTATTGTATCATGCTTTAGTGAGCATGGATCCTGTGTGTGCAGGACTTTCCTAAGTTAACTTATATTATTTTGGCATGAGAATAATAATAATAATAATAATAATAATAATAATAATAATAATAATAAGCCATTTAGCAGACGCTTTTATCCAAAGCGACTTACAGTCATGTGTGCATACATCTTTACGTATGGGTTGTCCCGGGGATCGAACCCACTACCCTGGCGTTACAAGAACCATGCTCTACCAATTGAGCTACAGAGGACCAGAAAAGTCTAAAATTGTTGTGATGCAATTTGTGTTTTAATCTTATTATTTCCATGATCATTTAATATTGGGTAATACAACGCAAAATAACTAAGTTATTTCTATCAATGTTATAAGGACTTATGAAAAGTTTACATTCTAATACCGACTTTGCCATCAGTTCTTTGTATTGGTCTAGACTATATGTCTGACAGATGAGACCGACTCACAAACAAAAAGGAGAAATCAAAAATATTTCTGGTAGGCATGACTTACCTGGCACCCGTGATCCCCTAATTAAAACTAAACTCAAGAGTCATAGTCAAAACCGTTGCAGTGTGCGTCTCTCCGGTCTCTCAGTTCATTTAAAAACAGAGCCATTGTTCATTACATCTGGGGAGTAGAGTTCTCTGATGCTGGGACATTTCTCCCATTACATTACTGCAGCCTCTCCTTACTTACACAACGATCCCTCTTTAAAAATACATCCTTCCTTTCCCATCCGCTTGTCATGTTGGGTCCGTGTGATTGCATTACGGCTCCTCTAGCGTAATAAATGATTTGTTTAACATAACTGCTCGAGGAAAGAGGCAGGTAAAGTGTGTTTATATTAAGCCTCAGCTAAGATTGGGGTTTCTGTGATGTCACAAACCAGTGTAATTAGCCAAAAGAGACCACTGATGCGATTGTGTTGGTATTCAGTATCTTACATTTACAGCCCTGGGTTAAGCTTTTAGCTTTTCCATATAGGACATTAGGGTGGTATATAATTAACCCTTTAACATGTAAAGAGAGAGTGTCAACGAATGAAGTCAGCGGATGTAACGTAAGATTTACCATGTTAGCTAATGAACTAAAACACATGACAGCCCCTCATATTTAGATCGAATCACCATTGATTCCCAACAGTCTAGCCCTTTAAGAGCAGTGGGCCATGACGTGATGCTTGGCATTTGGAGGTCGACAGGGGATAAGCAGGAAGTGAGAACATGGTAAAGAAAGACAGACAGACCAGACCGACAGAACTGTAGACAAACACACACAGTACACACCATGTGCAATGATCCAGTAGATTAGGGAGTCGGGTGTCTGGTAAAGGATTCTGTAAGGGGCCACTCGAGCACTGGAGTCCAGCACCACGTCTAGGGTTCCCACCAACAGACCTGCGGTGGGAAGAGCAGGGAATAATGTGGGTTAGGGAGGTAGACACTGTGGGAATATGCTGATCGTGTATACAAAAGCTTTGGGAACACATTTTTAGGACATTGAATGGATAATGCATTAATTGTCTTGAGGATGGGGGGGAAAAAAACACTAAGTGATCCAAGAACTTAAAAGCAATACAAACAAGTCATGAATCCTCCCCCTAAATAACGACTTCAAAACAAAACCCAACAAAATACAGTGAGGGAAAAAAGTATTTGATCCCCTGCTGATTCTGTACGTTTGCCCACTGACAAAGACATGATCAGTCTATAATTTTAATGGTAGGTTTATTTGAACAGTGAGAGACAGAATAACAAAAAAAAAATCCAGAAAAACCCATGTCAAAAATGTTATACATTTATTTGCATTTTAATGAGGGAAATAAGTATTTGACCCCTCTGCAAAACATGACTTAGTACTTGGTGGCAAAACCTTTGTTGGCAATCACAGAGGTCAGACGTTTCTTGTAGTAGGCCACCAGGTTTGCACACATCTCAGGAGGGATTTTGTCCCACTCCTCTTTGCAGATCTTCTTCAAGTCATTAAGGTTTCGAGGCTGACGTTTGGCAACTCGAACCTTCAGCTCCCTCCACAGATTTTCTATGGGATTAAGGTCTGGAGACTGGCTAGGCCACTCCAGGACCTTAATGTGCTTCTTCTTGAGCCACTCCTTTGTTGCCTTGGCCGTGTGTTTTGGGTCATTGTCATGCTGGAATACCCATCCACGACCCATTTTCAATGCCCTGGCTGAGGGAAGGAGGTTCTCACCCAAGATTTGACGGTACATGGCCCCGTCCATCGTCCCTTTGATGCGGTGAAGTTGTCCTGTCCTTTTAGCAGAAAAACACCCCCAAAGCATAATGTTTCCACCTCCATGTTTGACGGTGGGGATGGTGTTCTTGGGGTCATAGGCAGCATTCCTCCTCCTCCAAACACGGCGAGTTGAGTTGATGCCAAAGAGCTCGATTTTGGTCTCATCTGACCACAACACTTTCACCCAGTTCTCCTCTCAATCATTCAGATGTTCATTGGCAAACTTCAGACGGCCCTGTATATGTGCTTTCTTGAGCAGGGGTACCTTGCGGGCGCTGCAGGATTTCAGTCCTTCACGGCGTAGTGTGTTACCAATTGTTTTCTTGGTGACTATGGTCCCAGCTGCCTTGAGATCATTGACAAGATCCTCCCGTGTAGTTCTGGGCTGATTCCTCACCGTTCTCATGATCATTGCAACTCTACGAGGTGAGATCTTGCATGGAGCCCCAGGCCGAGGGAGATTGACAGTTATTTTGTGTGTCTTCCATTTGCGAATAATCGCACCAACTGTTGTCACCTTCTCACCAAGCTGCTTGGCGATGGTCTTGTATCCCATTCCAGCCTTGTGTAGGTCTACAATCTTGTCCCTGACATCCTTGGAGAGCTCTTTGGTCTTGGCCATGGTGGAGAGTTTGGAATCTGATTGATTGATTGCTTCTGTGGACAGGTGTCTTTTATACAGGTAACAAGCTGAGATTAGGAGCACTCCCTTTAAGAGTGTTCTCCTAATCTCAGCTCGTTACCTGTATAAAAGACACCTGGGAGCCAGAAATCTTTCTGATTGAGAGGGGGTCAAATACTTATTTCCCTCATTAAAATGCAACTCAATTTATAACATTTTTGACATGCGTTTTTCTGGATTTTTGTTGTTGTTATTCTGTCTCTCACTGTTCAAATAAACCTACCATTAAAATTATAGACTGATCTTTTCTTTGTCAGTGGGCAAACGTACAAAATCAGCAGGGGATCAAATACTTTTTTCCCTCACTGTAGTTTCTGTTTTAGCCCGTTTCGGACATGTAACAAAGCCCCCCCTACACCATGTGAGACAGCAGACCGTTCTGGTACATTAACCCTTGTTAGGGTACATTTATTTTACCTTTATTTAACTAGGCAAGTCAGTTAAGAACAAATTCTTATTAACAATGACGGCCTACACCGGCCAAACCCGGAAGACGCTGGGCCAATTGTGCGCCGCCCTATGGGACTCCCAAACACGGCCGGTTGTGATACAGCCTGGAATCAAACCAGGGGGTCTGTAGTGACGCCTCAAGCACTGAGATGCCTTAGACCGCTGCGCCACTCGGAATCCCCTTGTTAGGGTACATTAACCCTTGTTAGACCACTTATGCTCTCCTCGAAAGGCCCTTGATTGAGCCCGCCGGCTATGAGATCACCACGTATGAAATAGAGGGAGGAGGCAGTCCTTCACTGAGATGAGGGGGAGGGGTGGAGGGAGTGATGGTGTATTTAGGTCTGATGGGTAGCTGTGGCTTTCCTGTCCTGACTCCTTCATGCCCAATTTATATTATAGGACCAAACTGAGCCAAGCAAACCTGGGCTGTGCATCTCGGAGTAGGAGTGCTGACCTAGGATCGTAATTAAATAAGTTTATATAGGACAGGTGGGGGACCTGATCCTAGATCAGCACTCCTACTCTAAGACATTTAGTGGATGGGGTCTGGGCTGGCCTGGTTACACATCCACCATAGATGCTGGAACTTTGCTGGAAAAGACAACGTTTAAAAACAATATCCCAGCCAGTACAGTACGGTTCAGATTGGCACTATTGTGTGAATCTGGTATCAATGTTGTTGTATGGGGAAGTAGGGTGGACCGGGCAGATGGCATAGAGCTCAGATTTCCCGTGTGACAGATCGATGCAGATCGAAGGTGAGAGTAAAGTCACCTAGAATAAAAGGATGAATCCTCTAATCTAATGAACGAGGGATGAATACCCTATAATCTAGTGAACAAGGGAAGTGGAGAGATAGATGGACAGATAATGGACTCAAGATAGCTGAAAGATGCCAATAACTCCTGTCTCTTTAGCCTACACAACACTAAAGAGTTGTTTTATTACGCTCTCTAATACCTATTATCTCTGATGCAGTACAGTAATAATACATGACTCTAGTGTCTAGCTACTGTGTATTGTAAACCACAAGATCATACATCTAAAAGAGTGAAGGAAAGACGTCTGAAGTGATAAATACGCTAGTCTTGCTGAAAGGCTTTTGTTGTGAATAGTGATAGGTCTAGTTTTTTATGGCTTGGGGGTCTACACTGACATGTTTTCATCAAAGTTTGAGTGGAAATGATGACACTCCTTTTCCAACAGACTCAAACCTTGTGATAAAAAGAAGCTTTTTGACAGCCATATTCCAAAGTTGCTCCCAAACTTTCTTCCCGGTTGGGAATATTACCATTGCCACGGCAGTTTTTTGAAGGTGGCGCGTCAGAAGCATACACTTCTATGAGTCACACAGACCGAGAGAGATGAAAAGAGATATGGGGAGAGAGACCGGGAGAGAGAAACTGAAAACAGTCAGTCTGGATGATATTCTTCCCTCCATACAGAATGTCTGCTGGAGTACTTCTGGGACGCCACTCATCTCCACTAGCTGCCTTAATGAAGACATCTGAATACGATTACATCTCTGGGGCTCTATTTCTCTTTCTCTTTCCCGCTTTCTCTCTCTCACTATTATTCTCTCTCCTGTTCCCTCTTTTAATCCTATGCAGGGCGCAATAAAAGGTCAGGATTCATTCAATAAGAAGCACTTAAATAATTATTAAAGGCAAATATATAATTCATATATCATTAATTTAATATGATCAACAACGGCTGTAAATATCAGAGTGGGCCTTTCAGAGGCAGTAACGGCAATTTAGGTTTCACACTGGATGGACGTAAACAATATGGCCGTCGGTTCTGACTGGTGTAAGGGGTTGAGATTTCCCATCTGAACTAGGCCTATACATGTAGTTGCTCTCTCCGTGAACAAAATCCAACCGACAAACGTTCAACTGTATCTTTACATTAGTCACGCGTGAAATGTAGCCTTTATCATTGATAAGGTTACTGTACAGTTACAATACTTAATGCCAAGGGGGAGGGTGGCATTTGTTTCAAGCGATAACTGCTATGACAAAGCAGAACAAAAACAGAGCTACAGTAAGAAATCACAGGGAAAGAGAAAAGGCTCAAAACTAGATTGGAGAGAACAGAACAGCTTGGCCGATATGCAAAAGGATTGTGTGTAAGCCTCCATTTCCATTTCAAAGGGTTAGCATAGACCCCGAAGCTGTTGTTGTTACTTGGGGCTGGCTAATGCAAGGATACACGATCTGGGCCTTTCTGACAAACATGTTGTGGGCATAAAATGACTTTGTCCAGTTTCAAACCCTGTCACAAGGTTCAACCTGTTGTTCCTGTTGAACAGCGTTAACTCCAGTTCTGCACCCCCAGGGTTGCACATTTTTGGTCTAGCCCAGCATTAACACCACATTCAACAAATCAAGAGCAATGAGTTGAGTAGTTGAATTGAGTGTGGTAGTGCTGGGCAGGAACGAAAATGTGCAACCATGGGGGTTACCTCAGGACTGGAGTTGCAGAACACTGAACAAATACCTGTGAACCATCTCTGATGGATAGACAGGGCATGACCTGAAGCTAGCTGTGTTGAGGGGATGCGTGTTAGAGGTTAGCACAGGAAGCGCAGGTGTCAAGCACAACAAAGGAGAACACTGAAAAGTGAGACTTACGGAAGGACGACACCCACAACCTCCTGTGACTTCTTTGACTGCATGCAACTTACAGCTCATCAAACCGCTCACTCCAATGAATCTATACAGCTAGATATCAACCGCAATGGAGAGGACTAGTATGCATGGCATTTTATGACGAATGAATTAATGCACCCTACAACATCACTAATGTTCTTTGTTTTGATCAGAGGGCTACTTTCCCCTCTGTCCCCCTAAGAACTCATGATCCTACACCATGACAACAAGAGTTAACATGAGGTACTGTGGTGTATGTTTTGTATATGGTGAGGAGAGGGCAGACCCCAGACCTATAGCCTAGTGTTGACCCTTTAATCCATAACATGAACTCTGGAAAACCACACCATTGTCCATGTGACTATATGTTCCTATACATTTTATTTACTTTGACCCCCCCCTCCCTGCATGTAACACACACACAACCAAAGAAAAACAAGACGTACAGAAACTAATCTCCAACGATGAGAAATGCTTCCTTTGTTGTGGGAGGATGGAAAGAAACGAGCCTGAGTCTACATACAGTACAGTGGAACACAGATCAGCATCATGTGATGTTTTGTACTTTTAGAGATTGGAGAAGCCAGGAAACAAGGTCAGCAGCTGGGCCGCCTTTTGTTACTCAGCAAAGCTCCATTCTCTGTTCAGTCGAGACGGCTAGTTCCTTCTTTCCATTCAAGATTGGAAAATAAAACACAGTTTAGTGCAAAAAGCAATCGTTTTCTCCTCTCCTTTTCATCGGTCTCCAACCTGCTTTCTGTTGGAAACTGTAGGGTCTATTTCAGTGTTTCATTTGGAAAAATGTGTAGCAGTGGGAGGAAAGTTCAGAGGGGTTTTGAAGGGAGGGTCCCTCCTAACCCCCCTTGTCCCTCCCAGATCATTTTTATGTAGAAGGACTGAGAAGCTCAGTTCTGGTGAATTTTTAAAAAGGACTTTCTACTCCAAAATGAATGAAAATACAATTATGCTGACACCATCGAAAATATAATTTACATCTCCAGAAATGAGCCCAATAACAAATTTGTAAAAATATTTTGTAAAAGATATTTTAACATATCGGACAATGCATATAGTCTATGCATGGTCCATATTATCAGGTATGCAATAAACACTATCACCTGTAGCCCAACTGTCGCAGAAAATAAATAGGCTGAAGCATGAGGCTGCCCGTCTGCAGTTACCCTATTGGGCTAATCATTAGCCAGTTCTTTTAACTAGTTAGTATACTATTTTATCCTTTTTAACAAAGGCCATTAAAACTGCTGTTTTGCAAGAATTGTTGTTCATTGACTGCTTGTCAGAATGCATTTTTCCCTTCTTATGGCACTTGTAACTTGAATGTACCACGAGAACAATATTTATCTCGCATAGAACACACAAGAAGAAGCCGACTATAATAGTTAAACTATTCTACTATGGGGTTATCAGATTTTTCTATTCATTGCTCGTTTTATTTGCAGAGGAAAAGTAAATGTGGACTGTTCTAGCATCTTCAAAGTGCGCCTCGGCAGATTTTATTTTCTTCCCCCCATTCCATATTTTTTTGACGTGGCGGCAATGATTTTGCTGTGGAGCAGCGCCATAGCAAAACGACTGCAGTGGAAACACTGGCCTATTTTCTCTCAACTACTGACACAGCACCTTTTCACCCCACTGGCTGAGAATCAATATTGTTTCAAATAACAAGAACCTGATACGAAGTAACACCATACATGTTATTTTAAGTCATGTTTCTCCAACCCAACCCCCTGTAACACAGCTGTAGTGTTTTTCCTTTTATTTCCCAAGCCTCTATGTGGACCTCCATGTCAGAGGTCACCAGATAAGATAGATAGGTGAAGTAAAGTAGCAGATGATTGTGGGTAATGGGGGGGGGGGGGGGGGGGGGGTACGGACAAAGGTTAAAGAGGTCGATGGATAGAAGTCTAGGCCAAGTGTCTATCTAGGGCGATATCATCATGTGTACGTGATGTCAGTCACCCAACATATGTAAGCCTAGTTTAGTTTTAGGTCATACTGACTTCAAAATGTCACACTCTATTGTGAAACGTTAGGTAATATTAGGTTAGCTTATTGACTCTTGGATAGTGTCCTTTTGCATTGATAGTATCATATGGTGAATAAGCTACAATCCAACATTTGGGGGCGGAAGGTAGCCTAGCGGTTAGAGCATTGGACCAGTACCCGAAAGGTCGCTAGGACATACTCCCGAGCTGACAAAGTGAAAAATCTGCCGATGTGCCCTTGAGCAAGGCACTTAACCCAAATTTCTCCAGGGTCGCCGTAGATGGCAGACCCTGGCCGTGACCCCACTTTCCGAGGGTGTCTCAGGGAGAGTTGGGATATGCAAAACACACATTTTCAATTCACATGTGTATTACACACTTGTACGAGTGAAATAACAAATACAAGCACCCACCTAATTATTATCAACATTTCACAATTGAAGCTTGCCATTTTTCAAGTCTTATGACTTAAGATTGATTGATGGGAACTAGTCGTCTATAATGAAACTGTACTGTCTGTTCTATTTCGCAGTCTCTATAAATGAAGTTACAAAAAAAACTTCAATGTTGATTTGTTCTCATGTAAAGTAGCCTCATAAATATGGCTATAAATCAAAGAGCGTTGGCCCTTGTGGCCTTCCATATGCCCTAGGAGGACCAGGTGCTCGCTTGGCTTTCCCTGCTCGCTGAAAGGGGGTGTTTACTGGGCAGTGCCAGTCAGTGTGCCCGGGCTCTCTCCTCTCCTCAGCAGGCCAACTGGCACACCACATGGTCTGCTCAGTATTCACATAACAATGACATCATCACATTTCGCCACAGCACACTTTGTGTTGCTATTGTCACTTCCCCGACAGAGACACAATAGGGAGAGGCAGAATGTTGGTTCGGGGGCTAACTTTCAGTCGCTGGCATGCGGGAAAAGTAACGGCTCTGTCCTTCAGCGAAATGTCTTGTTACTGACCAATGAAGTGAGATACTAGCAGGCCATTTTAGCTCCCCTTGTCATATTCGTTACTGGCTGGCTGACACTGAAGAGGCAGTGACTGACTGGCACTGAGGACAGCAGCACAAAGCAGGGGATGACAACATGGTTCAACTCTCTTTGCCCCATCATGACTGTGACGGTCAGACTAGTCAAAGCAGGGCTATATAGATATATCTATATCTATACAGAGCCATCTCTATGGCTCGGTGTCAAAGACTTGGACTGAATCTACCGTACCTATAATGAACATGACTGACTTTTCAAATGATCACGTTCTATCTTTATTCAACCAACGTTTTTTTTAAAAGTTTTTTACATAATTCGTAACTCATTTTTCATCTTTCCGGATTCTCAGACTTGCAATGAATTAAACATTGACAGACTGAATCCAGGTCAGCCTGAATGGGATGGCATCCTATTCCCTACATAGTGCACTACTTTTGACCAGAGCCCTGGACCTCCTAGTGACTGTGGCCTAATTTGGATGGAGTGAGTGAAGGACAAGAGGAGAGGGAGAGATGATTCAGCATGTACTACTCCTGCCGGGAAGAACGTGTGTGACTTTGCTCTGCGTGTCTCTGTGTGTGTGTTGTCTCTGTGGCGTTCAGAATTCAGTAAGGGGAATGACACATCACCAGCCATTTTAACATTCCCCGAGTGTGCTGGGCTCTAATCAATCGCAGGTTCACTTCAATTGATCTGAGCCTTTTAATGGTCCCAAGTGCTGGAATTTGTCTTCCCTGTCAGGGGAGATAGTCCAGCCTTACGTTAGCTAGCTAGTAGCCTAATGATATTATGATTGGAGTGAACTAAGCACAGTCAATGATTATCTATTTATCAAATCTATGCATTTCTTTCCTTGTTTTGTTAATAGTTTAAAAGGGGGGGGGGTCCATAAGTGTACATTACTGTCCTGGTGAGGTTACATACTGTACCATCAACACAACAATGGTCATGTGACTATTCTGAGCCTCAAGACTCATTCAGATAAAATCACACCTGCATTTGTCTAGTTATAGTAGTAGAGGCTATTAGGGTCTAGTCATCCATACAGGTATCCATCCCCTTTGATACCTGAGTGACCTGACCCCCTACCCCTCACTATGCATGCAACCATAGTTGTCAGTCACCCAATCTCCTCTCCATCCCTAAACATCTGTGAGGCATGAATAATCTCCCCAGCCAAGCGAGAGACAGGGCCAGGGGACAATAATTTGGCTTGGCATTGCTTGCATCACAGCAAGCATTAAATAATCCTAGCCAATAATATCTGAACTCGACTATAGAACATCCGTGGAGTTGAGCTATGCTTGGCTAAAATAATCCATGATTTAGAGAAACAGATAAAGAGACGCAGAGCAGAGACAGTTCTATGCATCTCACCCGCTAGTCCTCCTCCGCTGTCCCCGTGGCCCTTGCGTTTCTGGAGGATGAAATAGGGATTTGCTCGCTCGGTTATCCACAACGCTCCCGCCTGCAACACCTCTTCAGGGTGGACCCACATCTTCGTCCAGTTGATTCTAAGAGCACATCAAATCCAGCTGATTCAGGCTGTGCCTGTCAAATGAACTGGAATGCTGGTTCGGTCTGTCCAGTGGCTGAGGCTCGATGCAGGTCCTCCGAATAACACGTACAATTGGACAAGGACAGCTTGGTTGCGGTGTAGGTATAGAACTATGACAGCATAAGGACCCTATTTATCCGCTAAAAACACGCAAAAATAGAAAATATTTCATCACTAAAATACGCGCTCCAAACTTCCATGCACGGCGTTAAGGTGATTAGATTCCAGCCGTGCACGCCAAAGACGCCACAAATTGTGTGCAATAGATTCAGTGGAACTCAATTACTAGGTGGCACAATAAAGCGGTGTTCGCATTAAAACAACGGAATCTGACACATTTTTGCAGGGATGGATCTGAGCGCGACACTTCGGTTCAGTCTTTGTTGTTCATCATCTGTGTTGTAACCGCTGTCAGGTGCAAATCGATGCCACCGACGTTTCCTCGTTCCTCGGCCGTCAGATATTTCAGAATGAGCGATGGTTGGACGCTAAATGATGTGCCCACAAGCGCGTTATATGTCCATTAGGCTATTTGCAACCTACTATCCAACATATATATGCTGCCTGCCTCCACATCGAACAACAATGTAATTTAATGCAACCCACTCTCTAGCGCCGCTTCCGCACAGCTCCGTATCAACAACGCGCGTCATGGAGTGGCCACATCGTTACGTCACCTTTGTGGGAGGTGGTTGCATAATTATAGCCTAGGCCCTAAGTGGTAATAAAATATGAATAAAAATTATTCAAGTGGTCCATCGATATGACTTGGCTACTGTTTACAAATAGCAGGTGTCGAAGCTGTCTTCAGGCGCAAAGCTGTCACTGCTGGTGCTTGCTGTTTTTCGTTTGCTGTTTTTGCCACCTGGTACCAATTAGTGGATCAATTATAATGGATTCCATGGTTTCGTTCATCTGTACTTTATTCTTTAATGGTAATATAATCAAAGCAATTTCATAAGCAATTAAAATTGTCATAACTTACACCTATGTCCAGTGGGTAGCCTATAGAGGTCTTTACAATGACACACTTTGAATTTGTAAATGGCCAGTCAGTCAGAGGGCTGAAAAGGTACACGAAAATCCAGTTTCAAACTAGACACCACATGCATCAGTTCCTTCGACACCATACACCCACACACCTGTCAGACTGGAGTCAACAAATGTTTGTGTGTGTCAACATGTTGGGTAAATATGTGGGAGTTGATGGAGATAGACATTGACTATATTCCACAACATGTCTCTGTCTACAGTATGTGGTCCCTGGTCTGCTAAAGGCCTATACTTAAATGTGCTTGTTTTTTTATATATGTGGGTTTAGCTTAGCTAAACTGACCGCACTTTAGGTTTCACAGCTTCCATCAACGCGTGGGAGACCCCGTGTGAGGTTGCTCAACTTTCCCTCAACAGACCACATTAAGTAAAAGGGTGTCTGAGCTGCAGAGACGAGACTGATGTCGCTACGTTTTCTGTTTTTGTCGGTTTAGACTGAGGCTGAAGGTAGGGCCAAGCAGATGTGCGTAGCGCACTCTTTTTTACCCTCCACCTATTCACCAGTAACCACAGTGGGGCTGTGTTAGGGGCTCTGATCAGTCAGTGTTTGTGTACACAGTCTGGAGGAACTGTTTCATCCACATATACACTGTGGGGGCAATACAGACAATGTGGGGGATGGAAACTTGACATTTAGGACTAACAAACAAACTCACTGACAAATGCCGAAACAAAGGGACCCCATAAAGACCTAAAGACGTGTAATTGAGTTCACAAGATCCAATTTCTTACCAACTGAAGTTTACTCTGTTCTCTTTTCTTTCCCAAAGATACCTTTTACACTCTTCCGCACAATCAAAAAGTCCCTTTTAGTTTCGCCCTGTCTCATCTACAAAACGTTTCGTGTTTCTAGACTGAAACGTTCTTCCGATGTCACTCAAAAGCACCTTAACTCTAGGGCAGGCTTCAAGCGAGGCCTATCTTTCTGCCATTTAGTGGGCAGAGGGGCAAATTAATTCATAATTGGATTGGGGTTATGTGTAGGGTCGATTAAATCTTATGCTACACAAAAATAAATAACACATTTTTCTAAACTAATCCAATCAGTTAGTTCGATTTTTTAAACCCATTACTGAAATGGTTGTTGCAGTTTTAATGGCTTAGACTACCATCTCCTACTGAGACAAGCTCTCCTGACAGAGAGGGGATTTCGTCAATGTTTTTTACTGCAAGGAAGACATCAGGGATTGAGGCTTTCATGCTTCTCCTCTCTCTGTCCCAGTCAAGTTAAACCCTTCTTGGTTGAGTTGATCGTGGAGAGCTGCTTTCTGCTTGGCTGGAGGGCCTTCCTCCCTGCCTTCTCTTACCATCACAGAACCAAAACAGAACTATCTGTTCCATAGCTTTGCTTCTGACACATCCTCACATCCCCATTTTAGAAGCAGCGATTTGACACATCCTCACATCCCCATTTTAGAAGCAGCGAGTCCCTTAAAAAAACCGGAAGCAGAACTGAAGCAAGGGTTCCCATTCTAAGGAAATGTTCTGTTGTGAGCTGCCAAAACCGAAATCAAGACAGTGGCACTACAATAAACACTCCTAGAATTGTACAAGGAGAAAACACCCAAAATGAAGGATTTCCCCAGTATATAACTGAATAAGTAAAGGAGGATACCAAGTCAGCTGCACAACTGAATACATTCAACCGAAATGAGTCTCCCGCATTTAACCCAACCGCTCTGAATCAGAGAGGTGCAAGGGGCTGCCTTAATTGACGTCATCGGCGCAGTTGTTGAACTGCCTTGCTTAAGGGCAGAACAACAGATTTTCCCATCTTGCCGACTCTGGGATTTGAACCAGCGACCTTTCAGTTACTGGTCCAACACGCTGAACTGCTAGGCTACCCGGGCACCCCTGAATAGCATAGTTAGTGTATGTCATATTTTGGCTACTTCTAGGATGTAGGGACCCTAAATCAAAAAGGGCAGTTTATTATTGGTCATTGACAGATTCGTTCCACATTCAAGGAATGAAAGGGGCTTTTGAGAAATGGAAAAGAGCACATACAGATCAAACGGGTCAAATAGTGAAGCCTTGAAGCAAGAAGCTTTCAGAACAGTCAGCCTGTTTGAAGATGATGTGTTGTTCTTGTTGTTGTTGTCTGTATTATTACCTTACCCAGTGTGGAAAAAGTACCGAATTGTCATACTTGAGTAAAAGTAAAGATACCGTAATAGAAAATTATTTATATTAAGCAAACCAGACTGCACCATTTTTTAAATTTATTTTTATTTACGGATAGCTAGGGGCACACTCCAACAATCAGACATAATTTACAAACGAAGCATGTGTGTCCGCCAGATCAGAGGCAGTAGGGATGAAAACATGTTTTTAGAAAATGTACAGATTTATTGAAAATTAAATACACATATTGAATCTACATAAGTATCCACACCCCTGAGTCAATACATGTTAGAATACCCTTTGGCAGTGATTACAGTTGTGAATATTTCTTGGTAAGTCTCTGAGAGCTTTTCACACCTGGATTGTACAATATAAAAAAATATAAAAAAACATTCTTCAAGCGCTGTCAAGTTGGTTATTGATCATTGCTAGACTGCCATTTTCAAGTCTTGCCATAGATTTTCAAGCCGATTGAAGTCAAAACTCAGGAGCATTCAATATTGTCTTGGTAAGCAACTCTAGTGTATATTTGGTCTTGTGTTTTAGGTTATTGTCCTGCTGAAAGGTGAATTTGTCTCCCAGTGTCTGTTGGAAAGCAGATTGAAGCAGGTTTTCCTCTAGCATGTTGCTTGTGCTTAGCTCTATTCCTTTTCTTTTTATCCTAAAAAACTCCTTAGTCCTTGCCGATGACAAGCATACCCACAACATGATGCAGCTACCACCATGCTTGAAAATATGAAGAGTGGTACTCAGTGATGTATTGTGTTGGATTTTCCCTAAACATAATGCTTTGTATTCAGGACATAAAGTTAATTTCTTTGCCACATTTTTTGCAGTTTTACTTAACTGCCATATTGCAAACAGGATGCATGTTTTGGAATATTTTTTATTCTGTACAGGCTTCTTTCTTTTCACTCTGTCATTTAGGTTAGTATTGTGGAGTAACTACAATGTTGTTGATCCATCCTCAGTTTTCTCCTATCACAGCCATTCAACTTTGTAACAGTTTTTAAGTCACCATTGGCCTCCCTGAGCGGTTTCCTTCCTCTCGGGCAACTGAGTTAGGAAGGACGCCTGTATCTTTGTAGTGACTGAGTGTATTGATACACCCTCCAAAGTGTAATGAATATCTTCACCATGCTCAAAGGGATATTCAATGTCTGCTTTTTAAAATTGTACCCGTCTACCAATAGGTGCCCTTCTTTGCGAGGCATTGGAAAACCTCCCTGGTCTTTGTGGTTGAATTTGTGTTTGAAATTCACTGTTCGACTGAGGGACCTTACAGATAATTGTATGTGTGGGGTACAGAGATGAGGTAGTCATTCAAAATTCATTGTAGCCCTTTCCTGCAGTCAATGACCAAAAGCGCCCTATTTGGCCTCATGGGTGGAATGTTATTAATATTTTTCATAATTTCATTAATATATATATTTTTTTTAAACAGACAAATCCGGTGTTACTAATTTATGTCAAACAGTTTTGTTATATTTCAGTCTTCTGTGATGTATATAAAGTGTAATATTGGGATGCAAACTCAAAATTGAATACATTTCAACTCTATATCGGACATGGTACAGGTGTCTTCTTTTTTTAAAGTCCATAACCATGTATATGAGTTGTATACTTTTGTTTCAAAGTAGATTTGTTTAAGACTATCAAGAATCACTGTGTGACCCTGATTTAGCCCACTGCAGTATTGAACACTATTATTGCACACAGAGTGAGTCCATACAACCTATTATGGGACTTGTTAAGCACATTTTTACTCCTGAACTTATTTAGGCTTGCCATAACAAAGGGGTTGAATACTTATTGACTCAAGACATTTCACCTTTTCATTTTTTATCAATTTGTAATAATTGAGAAAAATCTAATTCCACTTTGACATTATGGGGTATTTTGTGTAGGCTCTGTACACCACCACAAAGTATCATGAGATGACTCAAACAGAAACTCTGCCTCCCCTTCAACTGTTCTGTTGTTGATGCGTTCTGTGTCATTCTGAGTTCTGAGTCATTTCCTTAAACTTCCCCCACATCTCTGATACCAACATTATGAATGTTAGCTAGCTGTCAGCTACTATTTTGCAATTTGTTTACTAATAACAAAGCACCTGACCACTGACTGAAGGCCAAATTGATACGGTCTTGCGCAAATACTGTACTGTGGGTTTGATTGAATTGAATCCAACAGTATTATGTCAATAGTTTTACGTCTTGGCAAATCCAGATCAAATGGAATAAATGTTGTCATTTCATATGTGTTGGCAATGGCATAAAATACTTTTGGTGTCCTACTTGAAAACGGTAAGGAAAGTGATTAGACGGAGACATGGCCTAGCTATGTCCCCGAAATGTCCAGAGAAATCTCCCTTCCCAAGGCTGTGCTGTGGAAATGCAACAACCTGTCACATTATTAGTGTGTAAAAATACCCTAGAGGAAATATACCATG